GTCTTTGGCCTGATCCTAAACAGTTCGCCATACTGATTTTGGGCGACTACAATGGCGATGTGATTTACAGCGGTGGTGGCAGTGAGGTTTGGGGTTAAGGCGACAGTGTTGAGGTTTGGTTCATGGCGATGATGATCTTGGCCTGGGTTTTGCAACATTAACTCGAAGATGAACATTGAGTTCATTGAACAAATCGTACATCTGACCCAGATCAGATGCGTTTCCGTGCGAGTACAGCAGCGTCAACTACGCCGACCGGTTCTTCATGTACACTGCCACAATCTCGTTCCCTCTCTTGGTCTCCAACTTCAAAACGTCAACGTTTTCCCTCACCGGGAAATCAGAAATCCCCAATTTCTCGGTCGATTCATCAGTCGCCACTACGTACGACGGCGGATTCGACGGAAAGAACGCCAACCTCGCCGCCATCGACGACGTCACCCCTCCCATCTCTCAAATTCTGTATATTCAGAAAATCTTACTCCATCTCTCTATCTATAGATATCGATATATATTACATATACATACATATAGTTATATATGTGTGTGTAAAGTGTGTGTTTGTATAGTTATATCTTACATATACATACATATAGTTATATTTTCTCTTTTATGAAAAATGTGTGCTTGAAATGGGAGGACAGAGAAAGAGTGAAGAAAAAGCAGAGCTTCAGAAGGATTTTTGGTGCTAAATACTTTAGGAAATTAGGAGTAAAAAATCTACCTCACATGAGAGGTTGAGGTGAGTTTGTCTTTGAATTTACCATATATGTGGATTCCGAAATGGATTAACCATCAGTCTCTAGAGATAGATAAGGGATGAAATTATAAGCAGTTAACACTGAAAAAGACACACTCGTAATATTTGCAAACTATAGACCCAACGATCAATAAGGTGGGTAGAACCAAAACTCTTAAGGGCAAAATCTGACAAAAAGATAATTGCAAAAGCACTAGCAGATTTGTGTGTGTGTGTATATATATATATCAATGACAAGGGTATTTTTGGCATTTTAGTAAAAATAGTAGCTGATGTCATCATTTTTTGTCGTTGGCCCTAACAGAATGGAGGTCCATGTAAGATATTTTAAAAAGTACGGGAGGTCCGCGTGTAAATTAACTTATTTTATTTGATTATTAATTTTGTTTTTGTTCTTCTATGGTTTTTTTTTTTTTTTTTTTTTTTTTTGAATGGTAAAGCAAACACACACACTTTTTTGCTCACGCCGGGACTTGAACCCCTCCCCTCTTCTTTAAAGATGGGGAGATTATACCATTGGGCCAAAGGCCCTTTGGTTTCTTCTTCTTCTTCTTCTTCTTCTTCTTTTTCTTCTTTTGTGGGTGTTGCAAAAGCAGATATGGTCCGAATAGTTTTTATTTTATGTTTCCTATTCTACTTGTTGATCTGAATAGATTTCAAATGTAACGGAACTTCTGTTGAAATGGTAAAGTAAGTAGCATACTTTAAGTCTATAAGTTACACTTGATGGCTTGTAACTTTAGTCGGTTCCTATGTACGAAAATTGTGTTGTTAGTTCCAAAACTTCCAATTAATACTTGTTTTGCCAAACAACCAAACAGAGCATGGTTATAAAAACGGAAGTAGTGGTGTTAGTTCTTTTTTAGAGTTTATGATTAGTTTAGACATTGGGTCTTTAATTTTTATAGTTTATTTTTATAGTATAAGTTATTATAATGGAATTAAATTGAGGTGCATGATATTAATTTAATGACTATTAAAAAGCTTACCTGGTTATAAAAATAAATTATTGTAGAGGATAATACCATGTTAATCCTTCAGGAAACGATTGATGGCTTTGGTTGCATTTTAAGTTATTAGAATGAGACTTTTAATAGCTTGTAATTTTATTGTTTATATATTTGGATGGTAATATAATAATTGATCATGCAAGAATTAATGTAAATATTGTTACTTGCATTAAGTTAATTAATTGCATGACAAGTATAGAAGCCTATGCTGCCATTTAAAATACTCAGATAAATTCTAATAATATTGTATAAAATAACTACCGGAGTTAAAAATAAATAATTCAGAATTTTTGTGTAAATTTATTATGACATATCAGATTTATACAAAAAAAAATATATAATCAGTTGAATATATTCTTGTTTAGTAAATCTGGTCAATTAAGGAATTTCTTGTCTTGAACGTTAAAGAATTTTTTGTTAGATAAGTCTTGGACTCCAAAGTAACTTAATGCTTGGCCACTAAAAAATTGGGTTTTGGTCTGTATTTATAGACTAGGTTTGTGTTGTGAGTGAATGAAGTTTTGAGGGAGTTGAGAGAGTACTAGAAGACTGCGTATAATTATTTAAAAAGAAAAGGTTGTCATTCTTTGTTAGTGAAATAATATGTGGAACCACGTAAATCTCGTCTCATTTGTGTGTTTTCCATCTTTTCTTTTTTTCCTCTTTCTTTTCATTTTTCGGGTAATCAATGCATATTTATTGTGTGAGATCTTGGAGGATTAAATTCCTTACATTTTTATGCTTGTGTATTTACGAAATTTTGTTTTTTTAAAGTATACATATGGTGATGCACTAATATGTTCCTTTCATCCCATCACTGTCACAAGAAAGTTTACACTACTCTGGAAGTACCGTACCTGGAACCACTCAGTGGCGATACTCCCCGATTATTGTAATTTGTAGGCTTTCACCACTGGCACTACCATCATTTCCATCTTTTAGATGATTGATGAGTTATGTTAACAAGTACAAAATCAGAGGACAATTCTTTACGAGCATTTCTTCTCTACAATTAATGTCCATTACCAGTAAACGATATGATACAAACATCTCAATGCATGAGCAAGATAGCAAACCAGAAAAGACATTGATAACGAAAGCTCTTGCGCTTGTTTTTACTTCGATCACTGAAGTTCCTGCTCAACAAAATATCTGTCAGCCATAATAGAGCAAAGCCAATATAGTGTTCATTGGGATTTTAATCAGCAAAGAAGGAAGTGAATATAAAAGAGATACAAATTAAAACGGCCATAAAAGGCAACAAGCTTGCAAAAAATCTAACCTAGCAAAATCTCTCACAACCCGAGAGGATGGGTAAAGCAAAGAAACCTCTCATGAAAAGAAGAATGACATTGTCAAATCTTCTCTCCTTTAATCAATGATCTGTGAAATTGATCTAATCCGTGCGAATTGAATTGGTTTTTCAGTGGTAGTTCAGTTATGCATTGATAAATAAGAAATTCGCAATCCACATATCAGTTAACCAATTTAATCTAATTTGATTCGTTTAAATTTATATATAAAATAATATGTATATATACACTATTTCTATTTTTTTTTTTTATTCTTTTGTTATTTTAAATTTTAATAACTTTTAACCTAAAGACCTACTAACTTTTAAGTTTTACTAATGGCTGAAAATTCATCTATTGGACCATGATAAAAATAATAATATTTGGCTATTTAAAAAAAAAAACATATCTATTGGACCAATCTGATCCAATCTGTAAAAAGGCCTAATTCGATATAATCCAATCCATAAAGTAATGGATCAGATTGAATTCATTTTTTAACAATATGTAAGGATCCGTTTGGATTAGGTTTAATACATAATCTGATCCGTTCCCATCCATGGTCACCTATAACAATTAAAGGTCTAACTGATAACATTTTAATTTCTGTACAGAACATGTTATGCAATCTCCTATGTACACTTGGTTCAGTGAGTTTTTCATTTGCATGCATGAGATGCATCAAAGTCCTCAAGTTGCATTATAGGTTAATTAAATATGATAAAGTTGGGCACTTTTTTTCTATAAAACTGTAACACACTTACCTTTATGAGATAAAATGGTTTGTCTCAATTATTGGGGTAATTCATTCTAAATTAGTGTGTTAGTGTACTTGGAATACACTAAATTGGATACCATACAAATTTCTGTTATACTATGTTTCGGAGCACCAAATCGGCGGCTTGGATTTGGGATTGGAGGAAATTTATTTCAAAGTTTGTACCAAATTTCTTCCAATCCCAAATCCAAAATACCGATTTAGTGCTCCCAAACGCAACATCACTATTTTAGTGTAATTCTTATCTACTAGATGCATTATGCTCTAAATTATGGGTTTAGTGGACTCAAGTTTCAATATTGGTCACCTTGATTTACCAATATGTGAGATTTTTAACGTCAATACCACAGTATCTTGGGCAGCTAATGTTGGAATTGTGAGAGCACAAGTGCTCAACATAAAATCTACTCTTTATAAGAGTAACAAATAACTCCTTCATTCAATTTAATAAGTTTGATCATTAGAACCTGTCCATAGTATTTTAATAAAATGTTTATTAAATTATTTTTTATTATTTATTTTAAATAATTAATTATTTTTAAAAAAATTTAATTCAGTAATCATGAAGTTTTAAATGGGTTACTCAAGAAATATAAGAATTAAGTATGCCTTAAGTAATATAATATTTCATTTTTCTTGGAGCTACTTGTGGTATTCAGTAGTAGAATGACTTATATTAAATTATTTAGTAAGACGGGCCTTGTTGTAATTTTTGAATCTTAAAGTGCAATTATGGGTAAATTATATTTACCTCCCCTGAGGTTTGAACAAATTTCACATGGGTGAAACATTTGAGATTTATTACTCTAACCTCCCTTAAGACCATAAAAAATTAATTATACCCTTATATGAAATATATTTTTATAATACAAAATATATTATAAAATCTAAAAAAAAATAATAATTTTCTATCTCATCTCTCTTAATTCTTTCTCTCCACCACCATTACCCCACTTAAAAAAATATTGTAAATAAATAAAAAATGAGTGTAAGGGCAACTTGGTCATTTAATGCATTTTTTTTACAAATTTTGATGGAAAGGAGATTGTTGAGCACAAATCCAAGCCTCAAGGGATGTGAAGTAATAAATCTGAAACGCGTGAGATTTGCCCAAACCGTAATTTATCCATTATAATAATATTGTTATATGTATTGCAATTAATTGGAGATCCCAGCTGGAGCTAGGATAAGGAAGGTCTTTTGATCCTGTATCTTTAGCATCGGATATTTAATCGACAATTGTCTCTCTTGTATCAATTTTTTCAGTAACACAAATATTTGTAATACAGAATCACGAAGAGGGGATTCACAAACCTGCTTTGGAATCATAGAGGTGAAGTATAAATGGTGTTGAAGGCCAAAGGAGAAAGTGTTCACTGAAGCTCTAGGCCAAAAGAGAGTATTCTCGTATGGACAATTAGAAGGTCCTCCAAAGGTATGAAATCTTTTTCAGCAATTGGTTTGATGAAAAATCAAGTGACAGCGATCTTAAAATTTTTAAAATCGAGTCGGTTTTGTCTTCACAAACAGCCTGCACTGCCACCCTCCTAGTGATGTCGTTGGCACAGTTGCTAGTTCCAAGTGTTCCTTCACTAATATTGATAGAACATTTCTCTTTTCCAGTGCAGGCCTACCAAAGAAAAACGAAGTGTTCATATGGAAAATGCTCTTCTATAGAATTGTACTCCAACAAGGTACGTAGTTTTGTGAAAGAAGATTGGGTTGATTACCTTTTGCACAACAGACATGACTGTAGCAGACTCACAAGAGCCTTTACTGAAAGACTGACAAGTTCCTTTTGGATCCCCAAAGCTTGCAAATTGTATATTCGATAAGGTTTTCCCACCTTGACATGACAATTCCAGGGTGCTCCCCTCATAAGCAGTTGAGCAAACAGCTCCAATGGTGACAGTTTTGAAAGCCACTTGTGTTGGGTTTCCACCCATTTCTTCAAACAAAACTAAAGTGTTCTTGTCATTTCTGAGAAATGATCTTGGGACATGGTACCTAATACAATTGTAGTAATTCTCTGAGTAGATGTAATGCAACTAACTGATTCAGTGTTAATCCAAGAAAAATAGCAAACGATTAAATTACCATCTCTGAGTAGGGTTGCCACAATTTGTCATACAATTGTCCCAACTATAAACTCCGCGGTAATCACAAGTGGCATTACATCCATCTTTAGGAGCAAGGAAAGCAGGCCAGTAGCGCCCAATGCTTTGCCCATTCACCCAAGCTTGCCCCTTCCCCATGCCCTGCAAGTCCACCACAACAGGTTCTGTACCTAATGGAGCCTGGAAGGTAGTCTGAAACACAAAAAAAAATTATATAAATTGATTTTGCTGCAATACTTGTAGTTTCTCTAATATTTGCCTTAATTGAGAGGAAAATGTGGACAGAGGAGTACCTTATACCAAGTCATGGGTTTTGATATGGGAAGTCCATCTGTGGACCATTTAATAGATTGGCGTAATTGACAACCGGCATCCATGAGTTTTTCGGCCTCACCATTCAGTCCAACCTTCATCCAGAAAATGAAAATTCACAAGTTAATTGTCAAATATCAGTAATACAACACAGCAACAGAAACTCTCTCCGCTTTACCAATTAATTACCTTATATGACCATTGGTTTGTGGATAAATCCATAGTGACGTCGTTTTTGTTGCTGATCAACTTAACTGGCCCCCCTACTATTCCAGCAGGCGACAAATCGAAAAATGAACCATAGTTCTGCTCATGTAAAAGTACTAATAAGAAACTAAGATAAGGTGTAAGTGCTGGTATGTTGAGCTTCTTGTGTCCATGAAAAAATTCATTTTAACAAAGTTGATTAACAATCTTTTACTGTCATCATCCTACTTCTACAACTGTGAAAAAACATGCCTGAAGTCCAACTGTGGCGCTGAGCAAAGAGATAACATTAGTCCCACGTTGAAGTGTGACATTTTTAATGAAGGTGAAATTATATGCATCTTCCGTGCCCGTGCCCCATTGGGATCCTGTCATCACCAAATTAAGAACCACCAAATAAGATTTGAACTTCACATCTTTTGAAAATGTCTTTATAATTTCAGAGGAAAATGATGAAACTGAAATTTATTGAAGCATACCAATAAGTTCTCCATTTACGTAGGCATGAAGTACATGGCCTGTTGTGTTCACAAACAGATTTGCATTCGTCCAGCTCGACGTGTCATCAATGTCAACCCTGTGTGAGGGTATAAAGCACTATAAATGTTATCCTTGGTAAACTTCAACTCGAGAAGAGATCAAGTCAAGAGACAATGGAACTTACCTTGTCATGTACCACAAGTAGTCACTAGCATCTAAGGTTGTTTCCTTTTGTTCAAGAAGCTTCATTGCATTAAATTGCCCGTGCCCGTGGAGGGTGTCTGACATGGGCTCTGCTGCCCATGTCCAGGAGAGATGGGCAGGTTCTTTTTCAGCCCTGTTTGGTACCTTAACCATCACAGTTGTCGGAGTATTAACCTGATCAAAGTAACAGAAGAATTATATATCATTACAATTTTTGAAATGAGCAGGCAAAATTAGTATGGTTATGATTAAAGAAAGAACACCTCACTTTTACCTTTGCAGTATTGTAAATTTCCTTGTTGCATCCAGCAAGAATGCTAACAGACCAAGCAGGCACAAAGTACTTGCCATTCTGTTCCAAGTCTATGTTGGCATCCTGTCCTACATTTGTGTTGCTCAAGAAACAGACCTTTTCTCCCGTAGCGTTGTTAAGGAATGTTGTCAACTGGTAATATATAGATTGGATTATTTCATATAGTGCTTTTCTTTTGGATTCTAAGAAAGTAATAAAGACAAGTTACTTATTGTTCCTTACGTTAACTTGATTTCCAACACTCTGGTGTGTAGGTTTGGTGCTAGTGAGAATCTTCTGCACTGATTTAAGAGCAGCATGAAGTTGAACCAGATGTCCATATTTAGGCTGACTCGGGAGCCCTGCAAAGTTCATTTCATTCAAGTTTTCATCAAAGTGGTAACTAAAATATACTCTATAATTGCAGCATCCTTTTAGTTTCATTTTAGTCTGGGTAGGGAATTATGATAGGGTTGCCTTTTTTATATTGTCTCTCTGCTTAAAAGTTTAATCTCTGGAAGAATGATTACCATATTCATCAAGTGGTGCATCGTAATCATAAGTTGTTGCGATATATGGACCTCCTGATGAGCGCCCAAAGTTGGTTCCTCCATGATACTGAAATTATTTGAGTCAATTGATTGAATAAAAGAAAGGATCCAATATAACATTGGATGGATGGGACTAACCATATAATAGTTCATCAAAACACCACCAGTTTGGAAAAAGAGTGCGACGGAATAAGCCAAATCTTCAGCAGTCCTATGAGGATCTTGGCCGCCCCAATTCTTGAAACTAGTAGTAGGAAATAGCATTTTAGGTGCTCCAGCCATTTGAATTCAAAATGACCATCAAAGTATATGTGGATTCCGATAAAGAAAGGGGAAAAGGAAGGATAGACAAAAAAAGGAGACAGTTTCTTACCCTCCACTCCAGTTCTCAGTCCACATTTTGGGACTTTTTGGATTGTTTGGCTGAAAATTATGGCAGTAGAACCCATTGCATGTGTTGATCTGCATGATATATCATGTGTTTAGAGGTTTCTTTACTGGATTGATAAGTATTTCCAAAACCTTTTGAAATGTGAAGATGATATGTATTATATTCTCATACGGAGTAAAAGTGAAAATTTATACCATTGGTTGTGGTGCATCTGCTTGTTGGCACATAATCCATGGAACACCAATACTGAAGTTTTGGGCCATTTCCGCACACCACTTGACGTATGACTTTCCTGCTTCTCCATATGGTCCCATGACATTTCCATATTCATTCTCAATCTGTGATTTGTGAACTCGAAAACTAAATAATCCCAGACCAGCTTATATATATAGATGGCGGCACATACAAATGTTATAAAATGATATATGGCTGCAATAAGCAATACCTGTGCAAAAATTATGGGTCCTCCTTGTGGTCCAAAGAGCTTAGCTTCCTGGCACATGCTTACTATCTTCGCAACGAATGTTTCCATCTCACTCTGCAAAGAAAAGCTAAAATTAAAACACTTGATGTCACTGTTTTTTAATAGTATGGATCAAAGATGAAATAGAGTCCTAATCTCAACCATGCAAGTAGTATTACTGCTTTTATAGGAACCTTGTAAAATATTAATGCTTTTATAAAAGAAAAGGCACCTTGTAAACTGCATTATCCGTCCTAAGCTGAATTCCTGGCATGTTGTGTAACCAAACAGGGAAACCTCTGATCAAAGGAAAACATTATGTATATGATGAATATGAGGATACAAAGTCGAGTCCCATATTAATGATTTTATGTAAAATAATGCCAAAAAGTGCCATAGCTTTAGTCTTTATTTACAAACCATTTAACAAAAAAGGACTTACCCATAATTCCATTCTGCACATACATAAGGACCAATTCGCAATATAGCATACAGTCCAGCTTCTTGAACTGTCTTGAAAAACCTTATGAAGTCTAGGTTCCCGGAGAAATCATACTAAGTCATCAGAGATGTATAACAAAACAGATGTTAGGCTATGCTGTTTAGTTTATTAAATTGGAAACTAGTGGCACCCTAGAAGATTAATTCAAACCTCTCTGGGTCTAGGCTCATGGTGATCCCAGAATACATATGTTTCAATCGTATCAATTCCACCTTCCTTTGCCTTTCGAATTAGGTCTGGCCACATCTGCAACCCATATAAAGTTTAGCATGAGATACGCTAGTACAATGGAAACTGAAAATGCTAATGAAATAACACAAATTAAAACCACAATTTCATTTCTTTAACATGCATTTACCAACCATGCAGATTGAGCATTTTTTATAGTGGAAAAATAGGTATAGGTATATTACAGATTTTTAAAATGTTTAAAATTAATCATGGATTGAGTAAATGACTGTTGACATTTCTGATAATTCGTGGGGAAAAAGATACAAATTTGTGCTCCTCTTTTTAAAAATGTTTAAAATTGCTGTGTCATTTTTTGGTCTAACAACAGAAAACAATTTTCTCATGTTAGAAAAAGGATTATTCTACGAAATTGTGTCTTAAGCTAATTTTCAGAATAATTTCATGAAACGGCAAACGAATTTTTAAGCTGAAAACTGTCATCAGAATATAGAACTAAAGATGCCCAAAAAAATAATAAAAAAAAAAAAATTATTGTATGAAACTAGAAATTTTGCCATTCAAAAAAAAAAAAAATGCTGAAATGGCGAAGAAGAAAAGATAACATACCTCTACTGTGCTTCGAGGATAATGGATTGAACCAGATAAAATAATTCGTCTTTCGCCATTGATTATAATGGCATTTGAATCATATGAGACTTGTGTAGTAGTATTATCAATCCCAGATGCACATAAACATAGCAAGGCTAAACTTATAACCAAAACAATATTAATCCTCCAACTTGTCATTTTTTGGTTCCACCTTGTGATCTTTTAGTGTCTTGTTAAGCACATATAGACCTTTATTAATTTATAGCCACCTTCATAGAGTCAATGGATTGCAGGTTGTTCTTTGGAGGAGTAATTATCGGAATGGTTTTTGGAGAAGATAGGTTTGCAATAATCTGTTTACCACCACGAAAAACAAACGCTGACATGTAGATTTACTCATAAGATTCTAAATGTGGACAGTTCAACATAATTCAGGTAAATTAATGTCATATATAGAGTATACCCAAACACTTCTTCAGGTACATTTTGTTGAAAAAGTTTTAACATTTTAATGACCAAACAATACCTCTATTTGATTGCCGAGCTATCGGCAAACTTGGTTACTTTTGAGCCAATCTTTGTTTCAAAGCAAATTCTCTATGCAGTAGCCTTTTAGAGGCACAAGCCTCATCATCATTACCATTAACACCGTTATTATAATTCTAAAGCAGTTTTATATATATATATATATATATATCAGGGATGAATTGTAGTTCTATTTGTTCTCCGTTTGGCTCTGGAATTTTGATATATATTCATGGTAAATAAAGGACCTCTTCAGCTTTTAAATTGGAATTTCTGAAACTCGAGCGGGCAACACCAAGTGCATAGGGAAAAAATGAGGGAAGGAGCACAAGGCCCAGAACTACAAGCATCACCAGCAGCGGAATGGGGTGGCAGTCAACGATGAGATATTAGATGTGGGCATCCCCACTAACGTTAATGTTTATGGTTGTTTTAGGTTCATTTATTTTCTGTTTATTTGTTTTGGGTCAATGTAGGGTGCATGTAATGTGTAGAATATTGGAATTGAAAATTACTGTTACCTATAATGAAAATTAAACACTGGTTTTAAAAAATTAAAATTAAAAGCAATTTTTTAAACACTGGTTTATAAAAAATTCAAGTGGGGTGCAAAGCGTGGAAAAAACAAGTGTGACTGTGTAAGTGTCACATTTCTAATTTCATCCAAAAATTGATTTGATTTCTGATCCAATCCATTCTCAATTTTATCGGGTCATTAAACTATATATGATCTTACATCCGAATTTAAAGGGGGAAGGATGATGGATTTTTTTACAAGATCCGTTAGAACCTGATACAAACCAAGTTTAACCCAAATCTGACCATTCTAAGCCTTTTCACAAATGAATTCCTTCCATTTTCTACATTATTATTATTTTTTAGCATATAGTCAACTAATAAGAAAAAATTGAATTAAATTAAATTTTCTTGGAGAGGGTTGATCCTTTCTTTTTAACTTTCCTCTTCTATCAATGGGCTTATATCATCTCATTTGAATTTTTATGTTTATATAATTTTATACTTATAAAATATGATAATGCCTTAATCTGCCATTAGCCCTTTCATCCTGCCCCGCCACCACCATTTTCACTTTGAGATAATTGATGAGTTATGTTAACAGGTACAAAATCAGAGGACAATTCTTTACAAGTTTTATCAAGCATTTCTTCTCAACAATGCTCATTACCAGCAAACCATATAATACAAACATCCCAATGAGCAAAATGTGATTTTGTTTTAGCAAACTAGAAAACACACAGATAACAAAACCATATACACTTGTTTTTACTTCAATCAATAAGTTCCTGCTCATCAGATCGAAAATCTATGTTAGCCATAGAGCAAAGCCAATATAGTAATCTTCATTTAATACAAAAGAGATGCATACGAATTAGAATGGCCACAAAAGGCAACAAGATTACAAAACTACAGCAAGCAAAAAATCTAACCTAGCAAAATCTCTCACGACCTGAGAGGATAGGTCAGGCAAACAAACCTCTCTCATAAAAAGAAGAATGACATTTTCAAATATTCCTAGATATGTTTACTGTTATATACCTGACAAAGGTCCGACTGATATAATTTGTTTGCTTTATAGAACACGTTATATCATTTCCTATATACACTTGGTTTGGGAGATTCGGAAAAGAAAATTGAAAATGAGAGAGAGAAATACTCTGTATATACAGGGTGTCCTCATGAGCAAACAGCCTGCACTGCCATCCTTCTAGTGATGATGTTGGCACAGTTGCTTGTTCCAAGTGTTCCTTCATTAACATTAATAGAGCATCTCTCTTTTCCAGTGCAGGCCTACAGAGAAAAAAACAAAGAGTTCATAAGGAAAATGCTCTTCTATAGAATTATAACAAACTAGGTAGCTTTGTGAAAGAAGATCGGGTTGATTACTTTTTGAACAACAGACATGCCCGTAGCAGACTCACAAGAGCCTTTACTAAAAGACTGACAAGCTCCTTTAGGATCCCCAAAGCTGGCGAATTGGATACTCGATAAGGTTTTCCCACCTTGACATGACAATTCCAATGTGCTCCCCTCGTATGCGGTTCCACAAACAGCTCCAATTGTGACACTATGGAAAGCCACTTGTGTTGGGTTTCCACCTATTTCTTCGAACAAAACTAAAGTGTTCTTGTCATTTCTGAGAAATGATCTTGGGACATGGTACCTGATACATTTATAGTAATGATATCTGAATATATGTAATGCAACTGACTCAGTGTTAATCCAAGAAAAGTGAAATGATTAAGTTACCATCTCTGACTAGAGTTGCCACAATTTGTCACACATTTGTCTGAACTATAAACTCCGCGGTAGTCACAACTGTCATTACATCCTTTTTCAGGAGCAAGGAAAGCGGGCCAGTAGCGCCCAATACTTAGACCATTCACCCAAGCATGCCCCTTCCCCATGCCCTGCAAGTCCACCACAACAGGGTCTGTACCTAATGGAGCCTGGAAGGTGGTCTGAAACACAAAAACAATTATCAAATGAAATCTTATATAAATTGATTTTGCTGCAATACTAATAGTTTCTTTAATATGAGCCTTAATTGAGAGGAAAAAGTGGATAGAGGAGTACCTTATACCAAGTCATGGGTTTCAATATGGGAAGTCCATCTGTGGACCATTTAATTGCTTGGCGTAATTGACAACCAGCGTCCATGAGTTTTTCGGCCTCACCATTCAGTCCAACCTTAATCCAGAAAATGAAAATTAGCAAGTTAATTGTCAAATATCAGTAATAGAACACAGCAACAGAAACTCTCTGATTTACCAATTAATTACCTTATATGACCATTGGTTTGTGGATAAATCCATAATAACGTTTTTGTTGCTGATCAACTTAACTGGGCCCCCAACTATTCCAGTAGGCGACAAATCAAAAAATGAACCATAGTTCTGCTCATTTAAAAGTACAAATAAGAAACTAACATAAGTTGTACGTACTGGTATGTTGAGCTTGAAAAAAATCATTTTAACTGACAATATTTTTTTCATCAAGGTAATTCGATTATTAATTTAGCAAAGGTGATAGACAATCCTTTACTATCTTCATCCTGCTTCAACAACTGCGGAAAAACATGCCTGCAGTCCAACTGTGGCGCTGAGCAAAGATATAACATTAGTCCCGCTTTTAAGTTTGACATTTTTTTGGAACGTGAAGTTATATGTTTCTCCCGTGCCCCATTGGGATCCTGTTATCACCAAATTAAGAACAACAACCAAGTAAGAATTGAACTTCACATTTTTTCAAAAATGGTTTTATAACTTCAGAGGAAAATGGTTTTATACCAATAAGTTTTTGGTTGACATAGGCATGAAGTACATGGCCTGCTGTGTTCACAAGCAGATTTGCATTGGTCCAGCTCGAAGTGTCATTCATGTCAACCCTGTGGGGGTACAAAGTACCATATATATATATATATATATATATATATATATATTGTTCTTGGTAAACTTCAACTCAAGACGAAATCAAGTCAAGAGAAAATGGAACTTACTTTGTCATGTACCACAAGTAGTCACTAGCATCTACAGTTGTCTCCTTTTGCTCAAGAAGCTTCATTGCATTAAATTGTCCATGTCCGCGGAGGGTGTCTGACATGGGCTCCACTGTCCATGTCCAGGAGAGCTGGGCAGATTGTTTTTCAGCCCTGTTTGGTACCTTAACCATCACAGTTGTTGGAGTATTAACCTGATCAAAGTAACAGAAGAATTATATATCATTCCAAGTTTTTGAAATGAGCAGGCAAAATTAGTATGCTTTTGATTAAGGAAAGACCAGACCATCACTTTTACCTTTGCAGTATTGTAAATTTCCTTGTTGCATCCAGCAAGAATGCTAACAGACCAAGCAGGCACAAAGTACTTGCCATTCTGTTTTAAGTCGATGTTGGCATCCTGTCCTGCATTTATGTTGCTCAAGAAACAGACCTTTTCTCCCGTAGCATTGTTAAGAAATGTTGTCAACTGGTGATATATAGATTGGATTATTTCATATTAGTGCTTTTCTTTTGGATTCTAAGAAAGTAATATAGACAATTTACTTATTGTTCCTTACGTTAACTTGATTTCCAACACGCTGGTGTGTTGGTTTGGTGCTAGTGAGAACCTTCTGCACTGACTTAAGAGCAGCATGAAGTTGAGCCAGATGTCCATATTTAGGCTGATTTGGAAGCCCTGCGAAGTTTATTTCATTTAAATTTTCATCACAGTGATAACTTAAATATATAATTGCAGCATTCTTTTAGTTTCATTTTAGTCTTGTAGCGAAATATGATAGGGTTGCCTTCATATATCTTCTCACTGCTTACAAGTTTAACCTTTGGAAGAATGATTACCATATTCATCAAGTGGTGCATCATAATCATAGGTTGTTGTAATATATGGACCTCCTGTTGAGCGCCCAAAGTTGGTTCCTCCATGATACTGAAATTATTTGAGTCAATTGATTGAAATTAAAATCCTCATCAGTACAAAAACTACAATAGCAATATAAAAGAGTGGATCAAAAATAACATTGGATGGATGTGACTAACCATATAATAGTTAGTGAAAACACCACCAGCTTGGAAAAAGCGTGCAATGGAATAAGCCAAATCTTCAGCAGTTCTTTGAGGGTCTTGGCCACCCCAATTCTTGAACCTTTTAGGAGGAAATATCATTTTAGGTGCTGTAGCCATTTCAATTCAAAATGACCATCAAAGTATGTGATTCAGATAATGAAAGGGGAAAGAAAGAAAGACAAAAAGGAGAATGTCTTACCATCCCGTCCAGTTCTCAGTCCACATTTTGGGACTTTTTGGATTGTTTGGCTGAAAGTTATCGCAGTAGAACCCATTGCATGTGTTGATCTGCATGGTATATCATGTGTTTAGAGGTTCCTTTACTGGATTGATAAGTATTTCTAAAACTGTAGGAAATGTGAAGATGATATGTATTATCTTCTCATAAAAGTGAAAGTGAAGAATGAAATTTTATACCATTGGTGGTGGAGCATCTGCTTGTTGGCACATGACCCATGGAACACCAATACTGAAGTTTTGGGCCATTTGGGCACACCACTGAACATATGACTTCCCTGCTGCTCCATAAGGTCCCATGATATTTCCATATTCGTTCTCAATCTGTAATTTGTGAACTCCAAAGCTAAATAATCTCAGAGCAGCTTATATAGATGTCAGTACAAACAATACAAACAGAGATATGGCTGCAATAAACAATGCCTGTGCAAAAATTATGGGTCCTCCTTGTGGTCCAAAGAGCTTGGCTTGCTGGCACATGCTTACTATCTTCGCAACAAATGTTTGCATCTCACTCTGCAGAAAGAAAAAAAATAAAAAAATAAATAAAAATAAATAAAAATAAAAAATAGGAAGCTAAAATTAGAACACTTCATGTTACTATTCTTTAACAGTATGGATCAAACATGAAATAGAGTCCTAAACTCAACCATGTAAATATAGCTATAGGAACCTTGTAAAATAATGGTTTATAAAAGAAAAAGCACCTTGAAAACTGCATTATCTGTCCTCAGCTGAATTCCTGGCATGTTGTGTAACCAAACAGGGAAACCTCTGATCAAAGGAAAACACCATATGTATCATTGCAACATGCTATGTGAGGATACAAAGTCGAGCCCCACATTAATTATTTTATGTAAAATAATGCCAAAAAAAACAAAAGAAATAGCCTTTGGTCCTTATTTATAAGCCATTAAGTGATTAACCTTTTACAATAATTAATGTGTAACAGAAAAGTACTTACCCATAATTCCATTCTGAACATACATAAGGACCAATTCGCAAAATAGCATACAAACCAGCTGCTTGAACTGTCTTTAAAAACCTTATGAAGTCTAGGTTCCCGGAGAAATCATACTAAGTCATCAGAAATGTATAACAAATCAGATGTTAGGCTAAGCTGTTTAGCTCATTTTAATGGAAACTAGTGGCATACTATGAGAATCAATTCAAACCTCTCTGCGTCGAGGCTCATGGTGATTCCAGAAGATATATGTCTCAATGGCATCAAGTCCACCTTCCTTTGCCTTTACAATTAGGTCTGGCCACATCTGCAACCCATATGAAGATTAGTATCAGATTGATATGAGCTATGCTAGTACAATGTAAACTGAACACGCTAATTCAAGAACACAATTTCTAATCTTTAACATGCACATACCAATCATGCAGATTCTATTATTGTACTAGTAAAAGTGATGCTCGGTTTAAGCAATGACTGAAAAATGAATATTCAACCTTTTTCTATAGCGGAAAACAGCTATAGGAATATTACAGATTTTTTAATATGTTTAAAATTAAGCATGGATTGAGTAAGTAACCATTAGCATTTCTGATAATCCATGTGGGAAAAAATTACGAAGTTGTGTTTCTTTTTTAATTGACTAAGCTGCTACATGATTGTTTGCTCTAAAAACAGAAGACACTTTTCACATAATAGAAAAGGATTATTCTATGAAATTGTGTCTTCAATTTGTTTTCAGAATAATTTTCATCAAAAGGTCAACTAAACGAATTTTTGAGCTGAAAATTGTCATCAGAAAATATAACTAAATAGAACCAAAAATTATTATTGAATGAAACTAGAAACGGTTGAGAAAAAAAGATTATGTACTTGTACTGTGCTTCGAGGATAATGGATTGCACCAGATAAAATAATTCGCCTTTGGCCATTGATTATAATGGCATTTGAATCGTATGAAACTTGTGTAGCATTACCAATCCCAGATGCGCATGAACATAACAAGGCTAAACATATAACCAAAAGAATATCAATCCTACAGTTTGTCATTTTTCCTGACTGATAGAGAAACTTGTATTTTTTGCCTGACTGATATAAACTTGTGATTTTTTTAGTGGCTTAAGCGCATAGACCTGTAATAATTTTATAGCCACCTTTGTAGAGTCATGGATTGCATTCTTGTTTGCAGGAGTGATTGTAGGAATGGGTTTTGGAGAAGATGGGTTTGCAATAATGTGTTTACATGAAACCACGAAAAACAACGGGCGACATACAGATTTACTCACAAGATTCTAAATGTGGACAGTTCAACATAATTCAAGGTAAATTGTCATATATATAGCCAAACACTTCTTCACGTTTTGTTGAGAAAGTTTGACATTTTATGACCAAGCAATCTCTATTTGATTGCCGAACTATCATCAAACTTTGTTACTTTTAAGCCAATCTTTGTTTCAAAGCAAACTCCACATATTTGACAACCCTTAGACCATGCAGTATACAAGCTTAACATCAATTCACAAAATAAATTAAGCCCTAACACTAAGGACTATTATGGATTGATTGACACAGTACTAAAAGTTAGGGGTTCTATAGGAAATTTTATCAAAAAAAAATTACAGTTGACTGGGTTTTTCCAAATTGACAAAACATCAGTCAAAATTCTACATTTGTGTTAAAAATGAAGAGAGAATAAAGCAAATCTTATAGTTAGAGATTGTTACTAAGGATATGTGCTAGGATATTTCTTCCAATTTTTCTTTCTTAAAAATGGATTTATGAAAAGAATAGGATGAGTGATCAGTTGAGTTGGTAGTAATTTTAGCATAACTTTTGACAGTTAAGAGTGATATACTAATATAACAAATAAACACAATACATATGCAAATTGCATTTAATTAATCTAAGCTAAAACATGTGGTCTTTTAGCTCACAGAGTAGATAGAAGATACTAAACCAGCGGAGCATATTGCCATACTCTCCGGCGAAAAAGCCCATCGGTGGCTCTCACCATGGGTTACTTTACCTTATACTCCAAAGAAGCCCCAAGCCACCGCCATTGACGTAGCCAGAGTTACCACCAGAATGTCCAGTGCAGACAACACCCATCCTCGATCGCAAGTAGAATATTAATTCCATATTCACAAATTCAATCGATCTATACCTTAACTGTCAAAATAGAAAGAAATGTGAAATGCCAATATAACTTTCAAACAACATAATTATATAAACTGCGGTAATCACCCACATTTTTAGAGACCAATCTTCTTTTTCTTTATTAAAAGAATCTAAATGAAATGTAAATGTACTACCAAAACATGTGAGCTAGTGATATGTTTTTCTTTTCTTTTTCTTTTTTTATTTGATATTACAAGTCTTTACTTATTGAAAATAAAATTGCGAAGTGTCGAAATCACATTTTAGGAAAAATTGCACTCACTTTGCTTGAGGATGAGGTATAAAATAATTTTACAGAATCTTCCTAACTAATTCAAAATTAATTAACCTTTCCAAGGCTAAGGTATGCATAATTATACTTGCTTTCTTAGCTAATTAAAAAATTAACTGACCTCCCTAATCTTTGTATTTGGTCTTTTCCCTGCATTAGTGGTTAATAAAGTCAAGTCATAAAAATACTAAATTTGTCCTAATTTTTTCACTTTAATCCTACTAGTTTTCAACTAAAACAATATGATAATAATTAAAGGTATAAAAAACCTTAAAGCATGTTTGGTTAGTTCTATACTAAGAAATCCACAAACGCGGAACTTGGATACAACGTGATACCGACACGGTAATATGATAAATCTCAAAATAAATAAATAAATAGGGATCGGTATGTCAAAAAAATATAATATAATATTTTATTATATTTAGAAAAACAATCATTTTTATTAATTTTATTTACATTATAACAAATGAAAGCACTAACTTGGAGTTTAAGATTAAATGTTTGTTATTTCAAATTTTATATTATTTTTTATATTAGTCTATAATATATTTTAAATTGCATTGAATTTTATTCTTTTAATAAATATAATTATAAATCACACGGGTGTCTTAGAAGTGTCCAAAACAATCAGAAAATAAAATATTCAAATTTCAAAGCACGTCTAGCCGTGTCCGACAAATGTTCAAGCCGTGTTTAAATACCTGACAATGCCATGACATCCCTATGGGAAGTGTTTGTGCTTCATTTGTTTTATAAAAACGAAACACTTTTGAAAGCGTTAGTTACTAAAATGTAAACACTCAAAAATAACTCCATCAAAAAAAACACTTTAGTCAAAAGTAATTATAAATTTGCCAATTTTCAATATTCATGAATACATGCAGACCAAATTACCCTTAAGTACTTTCTAAAATTTACCAAATTACCCTTAAAATTATAATATAAACACTCCCTCACTCACTGCCTCCTCCCTCACCCCCCCCCCCTCTCTCTCCTTCTGAGTTTGTGTTGTCGCTCTGTTTTTTGGTTTTTGGCTTTGGCTGGGCTTTGAGATTGCAAACCCAGCAAACAAACAAAGCGACTATAATTAAATCTTAAACCAAAAGCAACAATCATATCAGGGAGAGTAGTCGAAGCACCCACCACCTGTTTGATATATTGAATCAGTTACATCTATAGGTGTTTCAGATGGCAGAGAGTTTGGACGACGGCGAGTTCTGACTTTTTCCTCAAATCCCCACCGATGAAGACATACTCATGGACTACAACAAATGATCACCACCATGTATTCATGAACAATTCTTATTGCACCTCTCGTTCCTTCTCATATAAACCTTCAACTGCACTAATATAAAATCTTTACTAAATAATGTAAAACTTCTACTTAAGCAAAGGAAACGGTAATAGCATTATGTAAAACTTAAAATGAATAATTTAAAACTACCACTTAAAATTGTAAAACTCGTACTTAAATAAAGAAAAGCATTCTATGCACTTAAAACCTTCTTCTTTTATTTCGTCTTTCTCCTTGCTCAACTTTTTCCAAATCAATGGCGGACTCTACTTTGGGCGAGGGGGTCCTAGCATCTGTACCCTCAACCTGTTAGGTTTGCACATTGACAGCCCGCACCCTTTCTACCCTTGTGCCCTAGGTTTGCAAGAGAGAAGAGAACTATGATGATGATGAGTAAATTTCAGATTAGAAATGGTTCTTAGATTGGTAAAGCAAGGGTAAATTAATAACTTTTAGGAACTATTTAAGGATAATCTGGACTCATGAAGAGTGAAAGCTGACACATTTGTAATTATTTGTCTAAACTTTTTCTTGATAAGATTATTTTTAAGTGTTTACATTTTGGTAATTAAACATTGCTAAGGTGTTTACTATTTGAATGAATTCAAAAATCAAAAACTATTTTAACTGAATTTTTAAAAATCAATTATCAAAGAATTGACTGTAATCAAATTTTTGTACAATATTTTTATTTACTGAAATTGTACTTTTGGAGAAAAAAATAATAATAATAATAATAGACAATTTTTCATTTTCGCATAAGGGTCCAGGGGTAATATGCTATTTTTTCTGTTTTTTTTTGGTAAAAAGACAAGAAATTTCATTGAAGATTAAGGCAAAAAAAAAATACAATCAAATTAACTGCTATAGGATAATTCTACAACAATAACGTTTACTACTAAGAGCCGAACGTGACCATTAGCCTCTCTGGGGTTAATATGCTTATTAATGTATATTACCTTATGGGAGGTGTTATAAAATACATTTTTTTTTTTTTTTTTTTGACAGGATATACTGAATAAGACCATAACTTTAGTGAGATAGATATTTGCGAACTTCCAGAAAGGAAAATGATTTATGAAGCTTAAAAACTGTGCGTAAAAACAATAAACCCTGCAACACCGCAGAAGATGACTACAGTGGGAGAGTGAACGGGAGACAGATCTATACATAGTTTCGTCAATGGAAGTCTCATACCAGCCAAAATTCTACAACTCCGTATTCCATCCATCGATTCCACTTCATCGTCTCCGTAAGTCTCTCTCTCAAAATCTCTCTGAATCTATCTCTATCTAAAAACTTTTTTTTCATAGTTTTCTTCTTCTCCCGTGCCCAGGTACGAAGGAATCGAGGCTTTTCTTAATATCTTCCCTTCAGCCGGTAATTGCCCATATCTCTTTTATTTTTTTTCTTGAGTTGCTTTGCTCTCATCTTTTAGGGGAAACAATTTTGCAATACACATATGCACAGACACGCATAGTATATGCTTTTTCATTGTATGACAGTGATATTAAATTGGATAAGTTGTTGCTTTGAATGAAAATTCATTAATGTTGGTATATGATGTTAGGAATAATCTGATGCTTGCAACATCTTTACAATCCGGTCAATTGCCAAATAATGAGTACGGTGGAAAATTGAAATGAATGATAATGTTGAGTAGATAAGCAAATAGTTCAGTCAATTGGCAATAGGAATGGCAACAGGGCAGGTTCGTTATGGATTTTCGAAAACCCAGCGACGTACCTATGTAGTTGGGGGCGGCCTCCCCCACTGACTTTCTCTTTATCTATATTATATACTTAAAATTTTGCTAAATTTGTAATAATGCCCTGCTAAATTTTTGGTAAAACACCTGTGCATGATGGTCAATAGAAGTAATTACCTAATAAATTAATTGAAATGAAAGTATGAAATTAAAATATCAATTAATGTTAAAGTTCTTTTTTGTTTATTATGGTATTTTGAAATGCTTTTATTTTATTGTGGTCAAGCTGCCCCTTCTAGAAAAAATTATTGGTCAAACCTTCCCCACCCCGGTTATCAATCCCAAATTGCTCAAAATCCCATCCCCGCAGCATTCTTAGAATTCACACCCCGTCCCCTCCCCGTCCCGCCCCGTTACCTTTGTTCTAATCTGAAAAATTGGAAGAAAAAAGAGAGGGTCATGGATCAGATTTGAAAGAAACCCTAAAAGTTAGGGATTTATAGTATAAACTCTACAATTGTTGATTAAAGACATAGCCATGAGAAAAACATGAGATGCAACATAGAGAAGGAGAGCACTCATATCAGCATGCAATTGAAGGAGAAGAGAGAGACTTCTCCATAGATAAATAGAGAGAGAAAGGGAGAGTACCTTCGCGAACCTTGCATGTTGATTGAACTATGGCGACCATATTCATGTTGATTGGTTGGGGACAGGCCGGCGGTGGGCGTGGGAGAGCAGGAGCGGGGATGGGGCGGCTTCATGACTGGTAGTTTAACATAAACTCTTAAGACTAAAGTGAGATATGTTACACATACACAGAGGGTATTTTAAAGAATACATAAAGAGAATAAGGATATATACATAATTTGGCTATATAATCGGGGCAGGGCAGGCGGGTTACCTTTTTTGTTCTGAATTGTCTGGAACGTGGATGGTTTTGAAAGTGGAAGTCACTACATCGGTATGTTAAAAAAAATGAAATAAAGAGTTAATGAACAAAATGGCAGCAAAATTTGTTGCTTAAAAAGCCATTATCTAGTTTGGTTCCACTTAATTGATGCTAGGAGGGTAAGATTGAGGATGGATCTAAACTTTTGTATTATATTGCATAAAGCGGCTGCTTTCGTACTTAAAGCTGCATTTTCACATAAATTATTGCTTATGAGAAAAGTGATGAGGCAAATTTAAAGCAAAGACCTGAGTGTTTAAGTTCTTTCATAAGAGCTGTAGCCTGTATATATATTCTAGCGTCGAAGCTTTATAAGTGAATAAGGTTTGAAATAGAGAATTAGGAAAATTTATCTTTAAGCAATGACTTAGAAATTAGCATAGAATATTTACAAAATAATGTGTATTATTTTTAAATGAATTGCTAATAGTGGGAGGTTCTCGTATTTGGAGAACAGTAGACAATGCATTTAGATAGAGGATTTTATTTCATTTTATAAGTAAAATCAAATTTTGATAGAGGAATGTAGTGCGAATGTTTAATATTAGAATCTTTGAAATGCAGAGACTTAAGTTTTTCACTGGTGTTGATGGTTGTCATGTTGGTGAGATTATCCAATCATATTTGTCCAACATTTTTTTTTTTTTGTTTTCCTAGTTGATAGCTTAAAGTTACATCGATATTATAACTTTAAGCTATCTACAAAATCCAAAAGATGATCCATAGAAGTACAATCCCGCCCATATACTTAAAAGAATAAAGAAGATAGAATATTGTATTTAAGAGACCAAATAGGAGCTTCCTCTCCCTCAAAGGACCTCCTATTCCTCTCACGCCACAAAATACATAGGGGAGAAGCCCTCCAAGCATCTCTGACTCGGCTCTCCACTATGCACTCTTTCCAAGTCTCTAGTTGAGCTCTCCACTATACACCCTTTCCAAGTCTCTAGCATGTCAACTGTGGATTCTGGAAACACCCAAGGAAGACCAAACGCCGTCAAAAATATTGACCAAACATCCCTTGCCACTGAGCAATGAAGGAGTAGATGGTTCACAGATTCACCCGACCTCTTGCACATACAACACCAATTAACCACAATCTGGCGTTTCCTTCTAAAGTTGTCTAGAGTAAGGATACCTCCAAGGGCAGCCGTCCACGAGAAGAAGGCCACCTTCAAGGGAGCTTTTGTCTTCCAAATAACTTTCCAAGGGAAGGAGGGACCAGGAAGTTCCAACAAACTGTTAAAATAACCCCTAACCTCAAATACCCCTCTCGAGGAACTCACCCAAACCATCTCATCCATGCCCACCCCGTCCACCACCTGGCTATAAATCAAGGCAAGAAAACTCGTGATCTCGAAAAGTTCCCAATCATTGGGCTATCTTCGAAATTGCACGTCCCAAGTCACCCTCCTGTTATCGGGACAATAATAGTCAGTAACCATAGCAAGCCTATTTACAGCAATCTTGAAAAGATGAGGGAATCTACAAGCCAAGGCCAAGTCCCCACACCATTTATCCTCCCAAAACCCGACATATCTTTCGGTCCGAGCCTTAAACCGAATGCATTTGGAGAACTCATCCCAACCCTTTCGAATAAGCTTCCAAGAGCCCATGCCTGCTGGGGATCTTACCTCCCTAGACATCCACCCTCCAACTCCCTCCCCATAATGGCAAGAAACAACCTGCCTCCAGAGCTTGGACCTCTCCCTCCCAAATCTCCAAAGGCACTTTCCTAGCAAAGCTTTGTTGAACACGTCCAGTTTTTGGATTCCCTAACCCCCCCACCTTTTTGACAGGGGTACACATCCTCTCTCAATTAACCAAGTGATACTTAAACTCATCTCCCACACCACCCGACAAAAACTTCATCTGAATCTCATCAAGTCTTCGAACAACTGTCAGAGGCATAGTAAAAAGCAACATATAGTAGGTAGGAAGACTAGAGAGCGTGCTCTTCATACGAGTAACTCTCCCGCCTTCTGACAAATACTGCTTCTTCCAACCTGCAAGCCTCTTCTCAAATCTCTTAATAATTTTTTATATAAAATTTAGACTCAAGATTTCATATATACCCTTACAAAATTAACTATAAATCTAAATTAAAATATATATTTTATTGATTTTTTATAGAATAAATTTTTTCCTTTTTTTTTTTTGGGTACTAAAGTCGTTACATAAGTTTTTTTTTTTTAATTGAATTTAAATTAGGTTAATTATTATTTAAACTGGCAAAAAACAGTGGCAGCAAGTAGAGGATAGTATAAAAGGCATGGGAAAGAGGATTCTAGAGCCCTATCCTTAATTTGACACATGTTAGGTGAAGTGGGGTCCACTTGCAGTCTTGCATAATTGGGGGGATTAGGTCAAATTGGATAATTTTGGTAAATTGCATTAATTATAGTGAAACTGCATTAATTAGATCAAATTGCATCAATTAAGTTATTTGCTACTTTTATTATGCTAGAGTCAACTTTTGATTACCTCAATTGTAGGCTAATCCAAGGGTCATTAGTCCTTTTAAAAAAGGATACTATGTAACTCTGATTACTCAGTCAATGAATGAATAAAAATATTTTTGAGATTTCTTTGTGAGTGATTCACAAATTCTGAGGGGGTGAGGTCTTCTCTAGATGTGATACCTAGGCCTTGTTGGAGTGATTTCAATAGGTTTTTTCTTGTTTTCAATCCTTTCTCTCTGTTTATTTGAATTTCCAGTCACTTCTCATTTGTTTTTTTACTTTTTTACAATCGAACCTCCAAATTTCAGCCCTAGTTCTTTTAACTTTCAGCTTCTGAATTCTTTAGTTCTTAACTATTTAAGGCTTCTCCCTTGTCCTACATCAGTTTTTCCCAGCCAGAGAGAATTGGCAAAGAACGGTGGCAGCAAGCCAGCAAGTAGAGGATAGTGAAATTGTATCAATTATAGTGAAATTGTATTAATTAGATCCAATTGCATCAATTAAGATATTTGTTACTTTTATTATGCTTGAGTCAACTTGTAAAAAAGGATACTATATAACTTTGATTAATGAATAAAAATATGTTTGAGATTGCTTTGTGAGTGATTCACAAATTTTGAGGGTGTGAGGCATTCTCTAGGCGTGATGCCTAGGCCCTGTTGGAGAAATTCCAATAGATAGCTCTATTCTATTTCTTTTCCCCTTTTGTTTTTCTACAATTTTACTATCAAACCTCCAAATTTCAGGCCTAGTTCTTTGAACTTTCAGCCTTTGAATTCTGAACGTCGTTATCTATTTATGGCTGCTCTTGTGTCCTACATCATAAACTCATAATGCAATATTATTAAGTAACTAAAACTTATAGAAATGTATAAAAAATAGATTATGCATCAATTCTTGAATAAATTTTTAATTACAAAATTTTACTTCTATTTAGCAAGGGTATAAATGGAAGATCCATTGATTTAGGACTTGAAAAAAATCTCAAAAGTAGGACTTTTTGGTCTTAAGGAAAAAAATTTATGACTTATTTGTCTTTTGGTGAGAAACAGCACCTAATTAGTGGTTATTTTCCCAAGAGTTTTTCAGCCTGACCAATGTTATTAAAGGCTCAAGGAGCACCAAGGCGCTAGAAGTCCTTTGGAGTGTGCACCTTGCGCTTGAGTGATGTGAAGCGCACAATTGAAATTTTAAACTATCATAAAAGCATTCATATCTCATAATTCATATCAATATTCTAAAAATTAATATCAAATATAAAAAAGTAAATCTATCAACTTTATAAGCATTTAAGAACCATAAAACAGAGTACGAATTTGTTTTCTTGAAAGGCAAAACAGAATTTATTTATTTTTAAATGGAAAAACAGTGCAAAAAAAGAAATAAATCTATTGACAAAAAAAAAAAAAAAGGAAAAATAAAACAGTGCCAAAAAAAAAGACGCAAATACAAAAGAAGTAGATGAAGAGAGAGAAAGTTTGAAGAAAAAGGAGAAAAAACCGAGCCCAAAAAAAAGAAAAAGACAGAGAGAGAAGATAACTAGATGAAGAGAGAAGTACGCAAAGATGAGAGGAGAGAGAAGTAGAGGGGAAGAGAGAGAAGAAGAAGAAAGAATTGACATGGCTTCATCGTTTATCTCTGCAACTAGGGCTTTGTTGTTGGTCTCACAGTCTCATTCTTTCTATGTTCGGTTGACACTTTGACTCTCGGGCTTTCTTATTTGTTTATTCTTTTGAGCAAAAGTTCCTTCTCTCGTAAGCTTAGGCTTTATTAAGTTGCCAAAAGTACCCTTTTTGGCTGAAGAAATATAATAATCATTTTTAAAAAAAAAAAACAAGAACAGTGAGGCGTGCCTAACAAATAGGACGAGGCGCAACCGATGCACGCGCCTAGTAAACATCAGTGAGCTTGGGATGACAATAGGCGCTAGATCTGCGCCTCGAGCCTAGGCGGGCCTTTAACAACACTCGGCCTGACACCTTTGGAACCCTTGGTCCTGCTGTTGATGTGAAGTCAAAATCCTTGCCACGAGATTGTTGAGATTTACTGAAGAACCTCATAGCACGTGGCAAAAGAGATCAGAATGCCTACTACCCAAGTAACCCAAATAATATCACTCTTTTTCCCTGGTCTTTATTTTTTATTTTTTTATTTTTTTAGATCAAAAGATGCTTCTACATCCAATACTATTTTGTTCTCATCTGTGGGTGCTTCAAGTTTCTCAGTTTTATTTAGAAGACAGCCTTCTGGAAACTAAATCTGCAAACTTGGACTGTAGAGTGGAAGAACACTTTTGATTGCAACTCTTTCTTCGAGGATATTTTTGCACCTTCCTTTTCTTTCTCTAAACTCATTTGGCCTCTTCCAAAGAATAAGTAAACACAGCTTTCTTCTCATAGACATATGAAAAAGAAATAAATAAGGAATCTTATATTCTTCTTTTTCTCCTTTATCAGTTTGTAAATTTGATTTGAATCATATTTTCCAAATTAGACAGTCGTTGGTTCCCTCCTACTGTTATTGTAAGAAGAAGAAAGATCTCCAGATGGTTTCTGTAGATTTTGCAAAAGCAAAATGACAGGGCCCCATAGATTAAATATGGTAGGTTTTAGAAAAGAAAACGAGTCACAAACAGATGAATTGATCTGCTGAACAACATTTATGATGCACTTATGACAGATAAGAACAGTTGTGTGGTAAATAAGTGAATTTCCTATTACAGTAGGGTTAATTGAGGATCTACATTAAATTTGTATCTCTATGTCTTACTTATTAATAAACTAACAGAACACTTCCGTAAGCCTTTCCTCGTTTGAACTTCACCCCGATTTACGATTAGTAGGGTTGAAGCTAAACATATGAAATGTAACTTGGGTAAATCTAGAAATGCAAGTTGGAATATAGTGAACATCAGTGGTCAAGAGATACCAAAAAATGAATGTTTTACCACAAAAAGAGAGAAATTGAATATGATGCTAATTATAATATTATAGCATGATAGGTTAAATGGAGAAGTGCTTTTGGCATTCTGTGTGATCGGCATTTCCTTCTAAAGTACAAAAGTGAAATCTATAAAACAGTTATTATACCGATCATACTTTTTGTTTCCCTAAATGGGGTGATTTTATCAAGAAGAAACTTTTAAAAAAGTACAGAGAATGGTGAAGGCAACCATTTTTTTGTCGAATCATTGATAAGAATTTTCTTCAAAGGAAATGAAAAAAACCATTTCCAATACAAAGCAAAAATGAAAATAAACATGACCAAAAATAGCAACCGGAAGTAAATCATGATAAAGGAAACATAAACTCCCAAGTCTTGAAACTGCAAGTTCAGCAACTGCAAACAATCCCGCATAATCGAGTGAGTGACTTCTCTAGGAAATCTCCTGATGCCCTCATGAAGTGCAGAATTCTTTTCTCTCCAAATGGACCCTAAGGTTGTAGAGAATAAACATTTAAGGAGTCTAGATCTCATGGACTTTGTCCTAGCATCAACCAACAACCAGTCCACAAACTGATCCAATGAAGTAACTGCAGGAAAAGTCAAATGAAGCAAATCAAATAACTGCCCAAACAGCGGCAGCAACAGGGCAAGGAGACAAAAAGGTGATCAGAATCATCCCTTTCCCCATAGCAGCAAGTTGGATCCCTTTTCCATGTATATTTGCTGAAGTAGGAATGGCACTCTCTAAAACAAGAGAGGAGGTAAAAAATGCTCTAGGTCTACAATGTTTCCAAACAACCCTGTACCACTTGACTTTAGTCTTTATCCCTATGCATCCTGATTTTGTCCCATATTGCCCTGAAGCTAATTAATCCATATTTCCATTTGATAACATTAACATCCATACCAGAATGAATAGAAATAGACATTATATAGTCCTTTACACACTGGCAAAAATGCAGGAAGATCCCATTGACCATTAACTATAACAGATGAAATCCATCTTGTTTATCCAAGTCTCTACACAATCTGCTACCAAACTTTTGGAACATTTTAATTTACTTTTTTGAAGAAAGGTTGGGTGGCTAAGAAACAATAAATTCATAAAATAAATGTGGCCAAAATGCAAATATGGTGTACGTATTACTTTTCTTCCTTTCTCTGATGGTTGAATGGACTAATACTCCCTCCGTCCCATAATAGTTGTCCATCTTTCCTTTATAAGTTGTCCCAAAATACTTGTCCATTTACCAAATTTAAACAACATATTTCACATCTTTCCATAAAATACCCTTAAAATTTAAAAAAAATTCAAACTTGATTATATATATATTTAAACTTGAAAGGGTAACTTTGTAATTTTCAAAGGGGACAATGCAATAATTACATGTCCCCTTAAAAAGTTCTATTCCCCATAGGGGACATCTATTATGGGACAGAGGAAATATAAAATTTGGATTTGGGATACATTTCAACATAATGCCAATCTGTGTCCATTCCTTACACAATTCTCTTATTGATTCTTGTGATAAATTGTACTGCTATAGTTGCAACTTATCTGCTGCATGACTCTGTTGCTGACTTTCAATTTCTGCAGTTGCATATTCGTAATGGACTCTGTGTTGGGCCCTCTCCATATAAGCAATTAATTTGTAGGAACTCAATAAATTGTAAGTATTTTTCTTTCTAGTGTACTATATTTTTAACCTTTGATTTTGCATTATAATGCTTCTTATCCAGAAACTCTGAATAATTTTGTCACATGCTATGTGCTTCTTCATTTACTAAATTATATTATTCAATCTGAATCATCTCTCTAAGTCGATTTGGTGTATAACGCTATCACATAAATGAATTGATGATTTATTTATTTTCTTTGCCTTCTCTAGAACTATTGTTAAGGAAAACAATCATTGCCCTTGGCCCATCTTACTCATCCTTTCTTGAATGAGTCTATTTCTAGTGTCCTCGTTGCAGTATTGTTCTCAATCAATCATAGTTCTCAGTTATATCGTTTTGCAATAAAGTAACTCTACTCAACAAAGCCTTTTCCCAACTACTTTGGGCAGTTGCATGAATTTTATTTTTTTCATTCTGCTCTATCTAAGGCTATATGATATATGTTATCATAATCTCCGTATAAACTTCAGGTTCAGGTTCAGGTTCAGGTTCATATTGGTCTTGACAAATTCTTTAACAAACCCTTCCTCCTTTTTTTGGGTTTGGGACCTGCTGTGTACAGATAAGGCTTTAAAAATAGTAGAGTCGTAGTACCAAAATTGACGCCACAAGTGATTATAGTTCATACATAAATTGGTGTTACTTAGTAAATTATTTCCCACATTTTCGAATGATTGCCAATGAGGCAATGATCTATGAAGCACTGACATGGGACACGGGTACGACACGACACGAACACGGCGATACAGCAAATTAAAAAAATTTAAGTCAAGTATGCTGCAAGGATCAACAATAAATTAATAATATAATTTTTTTTATTTTGTATAAAATTTTAGTTTTTGCTCAAATTCTAAGTTATATTCACACATATCTCATTTAAATTAGCCCCACCAGCATATTCTTCTTTTGAAACCCACAGACCCAAATTCCATTATATATCTATATATTCAAAAGGTACCATTTCTATCCTTGTAACCAAACTGGGTGGAAAAAGAAGGCGATAAGATTGTAATCTTATCCGGTTATCCCCTCTCTTCCTCACTCTTTCTTTCACAGCTCTGTGCCTCTGTTACTCTCTCGCTCTTCCAGACAACCTCTCTTCACCTCTCTCTTCCTCTCTCTCTCTCATTCAAGGCTCTCGGATTTATCTCTTCCAGAGGCTCCTCTCTCATCCCCATCATCTCTTCACATATTTAGATAACTCTTTTATCTCAACTCTATACATCTCTTTGAATACATGCAAATATACACACATATATATTTATATACCATATACATCCCCCGTCTAAAAAAAACTATGAACAGCCATAGGTGTTTTCTCCGATGTGTCCAATAGTGTGTCCAATTTTTAAAAAGAAAGAAAAAAGAGCACACTTATGCAGTGTGTCGGACAAGGGTACAGCACCCCTGTTGCGCGTGTCTTTGCTTTAGAGCCAATGATTATGTCTTCTGTTTGTTTGACATATATATTCAGGATTTCTTTCCAAAGCAGATGTTACGTTCATAGCTTAGTATGATGGTGTTTGCAGATACCTTGCACGGTACAATTGGCTATTTTTAGTAATTAGGTATATCGTTGTGAATGCTTGGTCAGCCACAGAAATCTTATGTTTTGCAATCTTGTAATGAAGTCTTTTCTGTTAGGACAAATTTACGAGTCCACTGTGATATAGGTGACAATTATGGTTGCAAAAGAATAATTATCTTTTGAGAAATGATTTCATTGTGCTTACCATGTTTCATTAAGAGTTTACATTTCTCTTTCATTTTATGACAACAGTAAATATTACTTCGCCACTTTTTCAATATTATACAATTTTATCTGCCTTGAACCGAGATCTGACCATTTATATCCAAAGTTGTTAACTTGTTACTTTGCTGAAATCCTCAAAACCTCAGTCCTTATCCATGCATGTGCATGTCATCATGCCAAAGTTCAAGTATTGCCATCTCAAGTCATAATTTTGTTGAGATTATTGCCAAATATTATAATCTGAGTGGATGGTACATGATGTTATTGTTACTGGTGTGGATAGCCACCCAAAACAATCCTTGAAACCTTCTCCCGATGTATATATGCTCAATTTCTTTCTTTCCTTTTTCCTTTTACAAGAAAATATATAAATATATTACAGAAGCCACAGGACTCTGTATTTATGTTCAATGTGTTGTAATATTCATCCTTTCTTTCTATGAGGTTCCATAATTTATTTGATCTGCAGCAAAATAAAACTTCTTTTCATCTGTTTATTTTATCTTTTTCCTTCTGTGGACATTACAGGTAGAAATTTATTCGATCTGAAGAAATATGCATGTGCATCTTGGTGCTCTTTCGGCCCAAAGGAGAAATTTTTTAGACTATCTTATAATGATAGATTGCATAAACAGAATAAACAGACAAGATACATAGTCGTAAGATCTGAACTTTCTGGCACTGGGACGCCTGATGCTTCCTATCAGTTATCAGGTTTCTTTTGACGTGCCTTTAAGTAATTTCTCTTTTTCAGTGTCAATTTTCTAATTCTTAAGGTGATTATTTTATATCTTTAAGTGCAGAACTTCAGCTGGGTGCAAAATTTAGAGGAATTTGTTTTTATGCTGTTAGTGCATCTGTTGCCATTTTCTTGTTTGTGCTGATGTTGGTGGCGCATCCCTTTGTGCTCTTATGGGATCGATACCGTAGAAAAACTCATTACCTTATTGCCAAAATTTGGGCTTTTTTGACTGTCACTCCATTTTTGAAGATCAAGTTTGAGGGATTGGAGAATCTACCTGCACCAGATACTGCTGCTGTATATGTGTCCAACCACCAGAGCTTTTTAGACATATTCCCTCTACTCACTCTTGGGAGAAGCTTCAAATTCATTAGCAAGACTTCAATTTTCCTCTTTCCTGTTATTGGATGGGCAATGTTTTTAATGGGTGTTATTCCTTTAAAGCGCATGGACAGCAGAAGCCAATTGGTATTCTTTTCCTGTTTTATCTTTTTAATTACTTCATTCTCCAATGATGCAATTGTGTTCATCCTGTTTGGGTTCCAATGTAAACAATACTGTATTTTCACAATTTTTTTAGAACTTACGGTCTTGCTTGTAAGTTATTAAATTTTGAATTTTATTGGCCGCAGGAATGTCTTAAACGGTGCATGGATCTAGTTAAGAAGGGAGCATCTGTTTTTTTCTTCCCAGAGGGTACTCGAAGTAAAGATGGAAAATTAGGAACTTTCAAGGTGACATCTATGTTAGAATTCTTATTTGACATGTGCATGTTTTGCCTTATTTAAAGTCAATGAGGAAATTTAAAATTAAAACCTAACAACTGTTTGGCTTCTGAGAAGAATTGGATAAAAAGAGGAAAAGGATTTCTTGCTTCCATCTTCTCAAAAACAAGATGTAGCACAGATTTGTACCAAAATCACAACCAACATTTGTTCTTTAGTCTACTCTAATACTTTGCACAGTGATGAGATTTTGGTAGATTTCACTATGTGGTGGATTAAGGCTCAAGTGTAGCAAATTGGGATTGAACATATTTATAGGGTGAAATCACTTTGGGGAAGTGATACCTTGTAAATTATGGATTGTCAAATGCTCAAATGTGTCTTCCTGCTTCTTTGTGTTTATTTTTATTTTTACCTGGTCGCTTCTATTTTATTTTCATTATTGGTAACAACGGTCTGCCACCAAGGAATTCGTAGACCCCCAATGGTTTTTCTAATTTGGATCATTTTATCCTGTTGGTCATTTGTAGAAAGGTGCATTCAGTGTTGCGGCAAAAACCAGAGTACCAGTGGTTCCCATTACTCTTATTGGAACCGGAAAAATCATGCCTGTGGGAAAGGAGCGTATACTAAATACAGGATCTGTAAAAGTTGTCATCCACAAGCCTATAGAAGGAAATGATCCTGATGTTTTATGCAATGAAGCTAGAAACACAATTGCTGGTGTGCTTACTCATCTAGACTAAGAGATTCACTGGAATAGTCTCTGTTGGGTTTTCATGTCCAACTATTGAGGGCCCTGTGGTGGATTGAGGAAATATAGTTGAAGAGTTATTGCTTCTGATGGCTGGAGTTATGCAATGTTATTGATTTTTTCACTGTTAGCCGATTATTTTTTCAAAGTATTAACAACTAACAACACTATGCAACCTTCATTTAACTAATAACACTATGCAGCAGCCTGTTAAGACCTGCAACTCCATTGAACTAGAAAGGTTGGTTGCAAATATTAGTTGACAGGATCAAAGTTAACCTGAGAAAAACTTGAAGTAGATTATATTGTAAACAGAATAAATACTCTCTCTCGCTGAACAGAAATAAAGAGTCTCACACACGTCCACCCACCCACGTGTGTGCACATATCCCTTTTAATTTCTATTCCTTCTTGTTTGTGAGATAGGAACAGTTTCAGTGGTCAAACAAATGTTATTCTGCTCTGGTTCTTGGAAGTAATCGAGCAATGCAAAAATTAGACTTTTTTTAATTGGCAATATATGTCTGTTGACTCGTATGCCTGCCTTATTCTACTGCTGATTTTAATGCCTTGACAGTATTTACTCTCTTGTCATGTTCCGTGTTTGTAGCTTATCTTTGGCTCCTTAACAATTTCTTCTTGCATCACCATCCTTGTACAATCTGCATTTGACATGCAGATGTTCTGTTCTGCAGATCTTTTTCGTGTTTAAGCAGGTTTTCAGTTGATGCGGTTGCATTCAAATTTGTTTGGGTTACCCTATGCCTGTAAATGCTTTTAGTTTGCACCAGAGTTGCCACATTTTGAGATCCTTTCTGGTTAGAATAGTCACAGTTTTTATAATCCCCTCCGGAACTGGTGGGCAACTAGCATGTGCCTCTTGTTAGTTTTAATAATACCATATATTCCAACTGATAGGACACAATTATGATAATATAGCTGTGGAGGAACTTATTGCTTTTTAGTACATAAAATGCCATCAGAATCAAATAGCAACTAATTTCAAGGTTGCTATCTTATGTATTTTAGTTCCCTATTGTTGGGTTTAATATACCTGGGAAAATTATTTCCCAATTGTTGAACGGATAATAGAATGTTGGGCTGTCAAAATAAACCTTAAAAATAATGACAATGCAGTTACCCGGAATGATTTTGTTACCGGTCTCTCAAAGAGATCCAATACACCACCCCACCAATGGTGGTGATTGGCACCAGCAACCGAACCGGTCACCACCATTGGTTGGTGTAATGGACCTCTTCAGCATTGAAGAACATATTGGTTCGTAAGGGCTCTAATAAAGACACAAGCAAGAATGGTGAATTCAATGCCTGCTTTCCTGTTACTAATAACTGTCAGCAGCTCCGGTGCAGCAGGAAACAAAAATCTAAAAAACAATGGTTAGCTCTATTAAGGATAAATTGAGAAATAACAAAATGGAGAAATAAGTTAATTTCACATTACAAAAACCCAACAATCGTGTCATACAAGAATATCCCTTTAATATTTTCTACGACAGGCAGTCCTTGAAGACAGGGAAATTACTTAAGCATCCTCCCAAAGGTTTCAATACATAACAGTATAGAAATGTGAAAAAATAACAAAAATTTAAACAAAATCGAAATGGGTTGGGAAAGAAGAAGTAAAGCAATTTCTATTATATGATTTCAAATTTAAACTAAACCCCAAAGTTGACTTGGGAAGTAATAAGAGCAGCCTGCATTACTGATTCACCGTGAAACAAATCTATGCATTGTCAAGACATAAACCAACCATTTTTACCTTCACATTCTATCACTTAATCAATCTTAACTGATGAGTAGATGAGCCTAGTGAACCAAAAACATGCATAGAAACCAATTGTACCAGTGAGCACGAAGAAGGCATAAGACACAATCAGCATGTAACCAAAGTATAAGATGCCAGAAACTGGCTTTGTGATCTCGAGCTTTGTGAAGAAGTAGAATGCAGCATATAGGAACAGGTAGAGGGCCGAAGATCCCGATGTCAAGTAAGACCTCCACCACCATAGGTAATCCTCACTACAAAGCTGGAAATAGCAGAGTACGATTGTGATCTCAGCACAAGTGACAACTAGGATGATGAAGACAATGAAGAGGAAACCAAAGATGTAATAGAATTGATGCAACCAGATTGAGGTGAGGATAAAAAATAGCTCGATAAATACAGCTCCAAATGGAAGTATGCCTCCAATAAGGATAGAGAAAACCGGGTTCATGTACCACGCCTGTTCAGGTATCTGCCTCGGAATTTTGTTGGTTTTCACAGGATCCTCAATGGCTGGCTTCTTAAACCCCACAAAACTTCCCACAAAAACAAGAGGGACAGAGATGCCAAACCATAAAAATACTAACGCTATCATGGTACCAAATGGCACTGCCCCCGAAGATTTCTCACCCCAAATGAGGGCATTCAAGACAAAGAAAATAGCAAAGATAGATGCAGGGAACATGAAAGCCGTTTTAAGAGTGATACTCTTCCATTCAGTTCCTTTGAACATCTTGTAGAGACGGGCTGAAGAATAACCAGCGAACAGGCCCATGAAGACCCAAAGTAAAAGCATGGCTGTCATCAACCCACCTCGGTTTGAGGGAGAGAGGAAACCAAGAATGGCAAATATCATCATAACAAGTATCATCCCAAAAAACTGAACACCTGTCCCCACATAAACACACAGGAGATCCGAATTTGTAGGCGGTCTGAAAACATCCCCGTGAACCAGTTTCCACCCTGTCTCTTCTTGGGCTTCTTCCTGGGTTTCTAACTGGTTGTATTTGGAGATGTCACGGTATAATGTCCGTAACATTATCATTGCCACCATGCCCGAGAGGAAAAGAACTATCATCAACGAATTGACAATTGAGAACCAGTGAATTTGATCATCAGCCATTAGAAGGTATGTATCCCACCGAGAGGCCCACTTCACATCACTCTCCTGCAGTAGTGGGGCAAACACGATTCACCAAGGGAAAACATAGAAAATATAAACTAAAAACATTAGCAGCAAAGTTGTTCCTTTCTATGAGATAAAGGGACTCACTATGAACTCAACATCATACGTGAAGATAATTTCCTTCTTATCATCAACCTCTTGAGGAGAGTCAGAGCTGGTAACCAAGCGTTTAGCATGGGGATCACAGGTTGTTAAACGGGTCCTGTCATTCCATTCACCTTCGAATTCGTGTTTAACACTGATTCCACCAAAAATATTCCAAAATTATAACACGAGCATAAACTACCTCTAGAGAGATATTTGCACCGACAGTGCATTAAAGCAAGAAGCGAATGTGATGTATGACCTGAATGGTTTGACTTCAAATCCCACAATCCTTGCATAGTCTGTTTGTGCATCCTTGTGAAACTTGACAGTGAATGTTAAGTGGTTGTGGATAAAATATTTTTCCTCCTTGCTCTGCAGAAATTAAATAAAATTAGTCAAAAAAAAAAATTGTTCTTGTATAGACACGAGACAAAGTCCAATAGTGCAATGACAAATTTTGGTACTTACTCCAGCATACTGTCCTTTCAGACCAACGTGGTAGCCATGTTGATACACAATGGAAGAGTCCTGATCTCTCCTTCGTATGGGAAAAACTACAGGAAGATTATCCAAAATCCTGTCAATGCAACCGAAAACATGAATAAATTATACAATAACTTGAAAGCATTTTGCAATTTGTGAAAATATTTAAAATTAAAAATATAAGATTCCTCAGAAAAGTGCCTCACATGTTCACCCGATACTCATCATCTATCTTTTCCTTAAATTCCTTTGCACTTTTCGCGTCAAGTGTTTTACGACATACAATATTGCACATTTGAGGTTCTCGCATTTTAAACTACAACAAAAAACTTCAGTAAGAAACTCAGTGTGTAAAAAAAATAAAATAAAAAAGAAATGGAATTTAGAAGGCAAAAGAGAACAAATGAATTATCTGAGAAATTTTACTGACCACATAAGGAGAATTCTCAATACGATCACCACGAAGAACTTCACCAAGATTTTCAGCACTATCAACTATTTTCCCTGGCTTGCAGTAAGGAACGGAATAATACGAGTATGGAAGCTGTGTTTTTGTAGAGGTCAGTTTGTTCACTTTCACCTTCAAAAGATCCCCCTGCACCAAATGGACATTAAACTTACTATAGCCTCAAAGAAAAGGTCATTATAGCTATCCCATTTTAAGATGTGGCTTTTAATTTTTCTATTGTATTGGTAGTGAATGGATTACCAAATTTACCCGTGGTGGGTCCACAATGATGTGATGATGTTTTGTATTTATAAGTTCAAAGCAAGAAGGGAAAATTGGGAATCTTGTAGTATTGGGACAAATCATTTTGGGACAGCTAAATATGAAAACGTAGACACTTATAATGAGACGGAGGGAGTGACAAACAAACAAACACAAAGCAAGTACAGGAATGCATCCATATTACCCATCTCATTGAGGTCACTAAGCAACAAATCCCTGTCACCGTCATAAGGGCGCAAAAACAGCAAATGATGCACATACCTGGGATTTTGCATACTTCAAAATGACACTTAAATATGCATATGAGGATGCTTTTTACCGCGTGTGTTTGTGTGTATAACTCCACAGATCCAACAAACAAGAGGATTGAGGCATCATCAAGACAATAAATGAATAATCTACGGTTTACAACACTCGGTTTGACCAACCAGAACAAAAAAATCACAGACCTCATGAGTTCTTCAACATCCAAATGCAAAATTTATCTTTTAGCAGGTCATTGACATTGGTAACAAAATGCACAATGGCTGGACCAGAAGAAATCCAGATAAAATCATGTCCAGAAAATTTACTCAGAAAACAAAGGTATGCCCAAAGAAAAGTAATTTTGGCCTGCCAACAGGATGGGAGGAACTCCAAAAAGTAAGCAGATGTCCCTTTACATACTTTTTGGGTGTGCTTTAGAGCTCGTTTGGGATTACTTTTCAACTGCTTAACAGCGCTTTTATTTTGAAAAATTGCGTTTAGATGTGTTTTTTTTTCTTTTTCTTTTTTTTTTTTTTTCCTGAATTCGTTTAGATGTGTTTGGTAACCATTAAAAGTGCTTTTAATAGTAGCTAGAATTTGCAGTTTTTAAAACTGCGTTCTGAGTAGAAGTTGAATATTTTAGATAACTCTTTTTCCTAAGACAATTTTGTCCTTTTTTTATTTTTTATAAAGATAATTACACTCCTTCCTTTATGTAGTTGCTATTGTAAAAAATCGTAACATACTATTAAAGGACATTGTTGTAAAATTAGCAAAATAGAAGTGTTTTAAAAAAATAATGTTACCAAATAAATTAAAAAATAATTTAATTGTGAAAAGTATTTATTATAATGTGTCACCAAACACCTAACATGCTTTTTACAGACCGAAATTTTTTGACAGCTCTACTGATAAAAGCATTTTTTTATTCCAACAGCAACCCCAAACGGGCTCTTAATCTATTTCAATTGCTTGCCCATATTTCAATTGTTCTTGCTCCATTTAGAGTAGAGACAAATATATCATACTGCAGTTACAAAGCTTTTTTTTTAATCTTCATACTACACAATATTGGACTAGTAAAAGCTATTATGAAAAGAAAAATAGAAGAGAAAAGATCCAACTTCACCGAACATATATTGTTATCATCATAAAAAAGGAACATAGAAAATCTAGAGTGACCAACAAAGCCACTAGAAAACTTATGCAGTGAAGAATCTCGTGGCAGAATTTATATCCATTGCAATCTCTAAGGTGGAGTTAGAAATAGCTACTTGTAGAATCTTAATAATCTCTACCGTCGATGTTCTTCATTTCCCACCAAGGTTAGCATAATATATGATCATGAACCAATACATTTAACAAATCATTGTTAATCAGCCAAAAAACATCTTAATTTCTACATCACTTAATGCAAGGTTTGCACAGTGAGGGCTCGGAATGAACCATTAAACAGCCCCAACTAGTGAACAGTACACATAATGAAGAACAAATTATCCAAACCACAGGTAATACACCAGCAATCTTGATCACATCCAACATTTGGAGACCATTTCAAAAGCTTTAATTTTCCTAATTATAATTAAGAAGACAACCGAATTGAAAATGATTTCAATAAAAAAGATGGGAACTTCTTAAGTCGCAGAGAAGGGAGGAACCAAGATCTTGACTCCCTAACATGACATCACTAGCACTAATGTTTAAATAAGGTTCTGAATTGTTAGTTTTCTTTTTTTCCTAGTTTTCTGGATTGTTAGTTTGTCACCCTCAGCGCATGCAATTACATGCAAGTGTTTGTATAAACTATTACAGCAACGAACATTTAGTTTAAGATGCACATAGTGTACATAAATATATATATATATGTACACACACACACACAAATATATATTCATATTTATATAAGCTGACAAAATAACAAGACGTTAAGATTCACCACACCAATTCATCGAATCGAGAACCACAATAGTAGATATATGAATGAATCGCAATAAACTGAACAACGAGAAAGCATGTTTTCAAACAAATAATTACAAAACAATCAACTTTATTCATTGAAGGCCATAACTGACACAGATCTTACAAAATTCAACAAAATCACGCAAAATGTGAAGACTAGGTCAAACCACCAAATTAACAAGATCTAACACTAAACTCTAACAAACGCATAATTATACAACTTACCTTGTGAAAATCTTCGGGAGCGACACCGGGAAGGTAAAAACAGTGTCCACGAATGATGAGCAATAGGGTCACAAAGATCCATAGATGAAATACGAGAGGCCTTCGAATCGCCATGGCCACTTACAGTGGGAAACAATACCAAAACCGAAGATCTAGATCCAGAGATGCTCCCTTCTCTCTCTCCCTAACTTTCTCTCTCTATAAAGCTCTGTGTCTCTCTAGTCTGGGATCAAATAGCACGGGAAGAACGATAACCAAATTGGGGGTTACAAAGCTGAAATTTAAAAATGAATATTTGCCGTTGATCGTCCTATAAGTAGAAGGGACAAACGGTTGACATTATATAGAAATTACCGACGGTGATTATTATTTCGATCATATAAAGAAAAGGACAAATTCACTTTGCAGAATTTCTCTCAAACCCTTTTTGTTTCATGAAACGTGATTTTAGCCCCCCCTGGCTTATTTTTTTACGCAGTGTGACCCTTACTTAACCAAACGATTAAATGCACTTCTTTTTTAAAAAGTGTAAATAAAAAAAGTTTCCGTAATGCTTAAATTATTGAGGAGTGCTAGTACTGTCATTCCACAGTAATTTATTAATTTTAAATGCATTCATTTCTTGTTTCTTATTTTTAATGGAGTTCTACAAACATTATTTTTTTAAAACAAAATTATTGTTTGAGATAGATCAAGATAGGAGAGAGACCAAAGACTTGCAAGATAACTTAAAAAGGTAATTTTATCTTTACAAAAATAAAAAAAATAATATTTTAAGAGTCTAATAAGAATAAAAAATAATTAATTAATATATTTAAAATTAACTAATTTTAACAACAAACTGTGTAAGGAGTCGTCCCAACGTTACTCTTATTTGAGACTCTTCCAATTCATTCACATTTTGCTTGTATTAAAGAAAAACATTGGATGAAAGGGAGAGGAGAAGTGATAAATGAGGGGAGAGATTATGTATTTCTTTCTTTTTGCTCGGTTGGGTATAAGATAATAGAATAAGTTCATAATTTAACTAACGAGCCAGTGGCCTAGCGGTATCAGCCTCTTAACTTCCCAAAGGAAGATCAGGAGTTGAAATCCCAGAAGAGACTATGTTCGTTACTATATAATTTAACGGTTGAACTTTGCAAAAGAGTCTTTCTTTCTATTTTCCTTTCTTTCCTTATATCATCTATACAGAGGAAGTTCATTCATTTATTCTTATTTTCTATGCACCTCTTCATTCATTTGATTGTTAGAATACCTATCACACAAGGCATGTTGATAATTTGAGTCTCTAGTAGTGCTACCATTTGCATATTACTTGTTAAATATGTATATATGTAGTTAAATTATAAGTACTTGATAATAATATTCACAAGACACTAACAATATACCTAAATTTACCTCAACTTATGGAAAACAATATATATAGAACGTTAGGTTTTCTTTTTTCTTAATTTCTATACGTAAAATCAAACAAACTTTTTCTATACAACATTATTTCTATTTGAGTAAAATTAAACTTTCCTTTAATTTTCAATCCAATTAAATGTTTTTTTTCTAAAATGAGATAGGATCTATTTATTGATATATAATTTGTTTCTAATTCAAATATCCTTTATTATACTAATCACAGTCCTAAACTTTTCTCCTTTTATTTAAGGATAACCCCTCCTCAAACAAGAATTGTATATCCTTTATTATACTAATCATAGTCCTAAACTTTTCTCCTTTTATTTAAGGATAACCCCACCTCAGACAAGAATTGTGTCAAATATTCTCAACATGGCATCCAATGAATTTTGATAGATTGATAAAGATATGTTCAAAATCAACTCAAAAAATTATATTATAATGAAAAAAATAGAACAAAAGTAAGAAATTAGAAAGGTTGATGACTGATTCATAGATTTTTTAGTTTTCTTCAATACAACTTGTCTTAACAAGACATTCTATTATTAGTGAGATCTTCCTTTTTTGCAAAGGAGAGAGGATTGGAGGTAACGTGAAAGGAATTGAAGAATCTAAATGCCGAGAAATTATACCTTTTGGCACCGAGAATCCTAACCCTAAAGGAAAGGGCAATTATGAAACTAAAACTCGTAAAAAAAAAACCTTGTGTGGTGTGAGAGTTACTTTGTAATTTTAATTTAGAAAAATCATGTATATATAGATATTTTGCAGTTTTTAATAATTTAAGAAAAAATTGATGGGGACAGAGATCAATGTTCTCTTCATAAGAGGCAGTTCTGCATCACTCGATCTATTTTATCGTTTTCTATTACTAGGAAGTCAAATTATATATAAATGGCCCATATTTTAAATTTTCACTGATTTTTTTACTCTTGTTTGGTGAACCCAAGATAATCAAGTCAAAACTTTGACACTTTTTAAAGTTGCCCAATGGGTCGGACTGTTGGACGGTCATGATCATCTAGTTTCCACATCCCATCAATTTAAAGGTTTTCAATGTGTGAGCGAGCGATAATGATGGTGAACCACCGCACTTGCATAGCAAGATTCGCGAAAAATACTTTCTTCCAGCTCAAAAATCTTTTCCAATTTTTTTATTTTGAAATGCCAAAAAAAATACAGGTTTCACTTTAAGAGCAAGTTTACTATTTTTATGGCATTTTGACCTAATTAAATAAGTGCATTATTAAGAAGTATTGCATTTTTTAACAAGGATAAATTTAAAAACTCACTCATTATTAATACATTAAAAAAATATTAAAAATTAACATCGTTGGTTAGAAGACTGGCAATGAAAGTTACACTTCAAAAACTTTGAATTCAAGGAACGTGAGATCATTATTTCATCTTATCTTATTATGGTATTGTTATTGTTGTATGGGTTTCAAAGTTGTGCTGCTGCAATTAATTAAGGTAATGTAACAAAATGGCTTGAATTAAGGATAAGCAGTATGTAATATTTGCCCTCATCCAGATTTCTTGCATATTGTATTTATAAGTACTTCAAGTTTATTTCATATGTATAGTTTTGGTTTATGTTATATGTGTGTGTGACATTGAAATATCACTACCAAGGTAGCATCATTTGCATTTAAAAATAATAATTTCCTTTCTTTCTTGAGGACATACATATAAAAGAGTGCTATTTAGAAGGCCAATAGAAAAAAATTGACCTACCCTTTTTCAAAATTAGAACATAGACAAAAATGTTATCCTATGCGCTTTATTGAGACAACATTTACCTAGTTTTCAAGACTGCACTGAATTGTTTCAGGAAAACTAAGGTCTTCAGAGAAAGAAAAGACCGGCTTTCTTAATGAACATAGACAAAACAAGAGTTATGTTTATGAAACTTTAAACTTCCATCAAAACTATTCTGGATTGCCTCTGTAACTCGCGTGATTTTACAAGGAAATGGAAACACACTGAAAGGGAAATTCATCATGCAAACTACAGGGACATTTCAAAAAACCTAAAGATAACAAAAAAAAAAAAATCTAAACATATAAATTACTGAAGTGAATGTGACAACTGATAGCTCATCGCTTTCCATTTTCTTTCATACAATTCAGGATTTCACAGCACCGGAAAATCCGTTTACTTTACTTTCTCTTCCTCGCCATTGGATTTCAAAACTCTAATTAAGAAGAAGAGTTCTTCATAACCCATTCCACCAGAGTCGAAATGCCAAATCCTGTTGCAAGTTTCGTCTTCTCAGACATAACAGGCCCGGCCATGTCAATATGTATCCATTGGACCTTCTCGTCAACAAACTGAAAAGAAAAAAAAGAAGAAGAAGGGACAGTTGTAACATCAGAATTTCTCAGCCTAGTTTTAACCAAGAAAACTTCTTTATAAAAAAACAAATGATACTGGAACCCAGCAAGCAAAATTCCTTGTAGTGTCTGGATGGTTTCTTTTCATGTAAACAATGAAGATTAAAGGACCATTGGCTTTGTGGTACAGTTGCAGCCGGGAATTTCAGTACGATGGATGCTCCGGTTTTGATGTTCTTAGATATTAAATTTTATGCACACATCATCGAAGAATACTATGTTCATAAAGGGGGACAATTTTGTTTTAACACAAGGAGGCACTGTATTTAGCAAAATGGTAAAAGCGCAGTGTTGTCAAGTGTGAGAACACACTCACATGTGAGCAGCAGCAACAATATGCAAAATAATGCCAAATGTTAGGTCTATATCTGACCTATCCACTACATAGGCAATCCAACGGTCGATAATTATCATGTCTCACTCTCCATAATCACATATGGTTTACATACAGAAATCAGGATCTATCATTTTACATGCATGGTCTATATCTGGTCCTTGTCTAACACTCTTGATCTAACAATAAAAGCAAGCAGATAGAATGATCAATCCCGTACCTGTTTCAGGAAAAGAGCTGCATTGATGGCACCACCTGGACGAAAAGCAGTATTAACCATATCAGCTACTCCTGATTTCATGGACTCCCAATAACTTTCCTCCAAAGGCAGCCTCCAAAGTTTTTCCCCCGCAACCTCTGAAGCTGCAAGTACCTCCTCTGCCAGGTCATCACTGGCTGTAAAGATACCTGTGTTTCCAGAAGGAATCTTGATGTCATGTACCATTATGTCATGATATCTTGTGAACTTTTCCATAACATTGATCATTTTTGTTCCAGTATATAAAAATATATATGGTTTTTTATTATTATTATTATTTTTTCCCCCTGATGTGCCACAAATATGTTCCTGTAACATTCTAAAAACCTTGGCAGGGGCGGAGCCAGAAAATATAGGTTTGGGGGGCCAGATTTGTACTATGTAACTAAAGTTGGAAAATTTTATAAATCAATTGTAATATAATTTTGTTTAAATAATAGTTATAGTATATATAATTTGAGAAAATTTAAAAATGAGAAAAAAAACAACTTAATAGTAGACTAAAATTTGATATTAGAAAGAAGAATATAGAGAAAAAATGACGAGTTACAATTAGAAAGAGAAGAGGTAAAGAAATAAGCATTATTAGAGAATTAATTTTCCTTCATCAATTGTTTTAGTTTTTTTTAAATCTAATTTTTGGAAGAAAAAATTTGAGTACTTTGATTCCACTGGGGAAAGATATGCCTTGATGAAAAATTAGAAAAAAATAATGAATTTTAACTAAACAAAATAATTTTAAATTAAACAAGATGCCAATAAAGATTGTTATATAATTCTAGATATTTTTCTTGTAAATACCATTTTGCAAAAAAGTTTGACAAAAAATGCTTCATCCATTTTTATTAAACATGAGGGAACATTAGTGATTTTTATCCTTTTTATTCTCTTGAATTAATATTATAGATAGTGTAAATGTGTATACGTAAATAAAATAACAATGTGTTGCGAAAACGACTACAATAATAATGAGCTTAAATTTTTGTTTCTCAATATATAGTTAAAAGGGTTCAAGTTGAAAATTTCTTAAATTTTAAGGAGATACGTACTAAATTTATTTGAAAAAGTTTGGGGGGGGCATGGCCCCTGTTGGCCCACCCCTAGCTCCGCCCTTGAACCTTGGGCAATTGTAAGCAGGACATTATAACCATATTCCAAATTCATTGCCATGGCAATGAAGAGAAAACTTATAATACATATACCTGCAATTGAGGGGCCAAGAGCCACGACACAGGCCCCAGTTAATGTTGCCACATCAACTATCTGCAAAACAATTAAACAAGGTGTTAGACAAGTCTAAAACCAATTTTACTTCAGAAGCAAATTCTTCCAGAAGAGTTGTGAAAATGAAGGAATGATGTTTTTCCAGAATAATTTTAATAAAGGCGTGTCTACATCCCATTGATATTCTGGATTGTTGTTGTGTGCACAACCCCCACCCCCAACACACACACACTCTCTCTCTCCCTCCTTTTGTGTGTGCGTTGTAAATTGACCAAGGATGCCAATGGATTTGAAGAATATCAAATAATTTTCTTTGGTATCAAATATTGTTACACGTAAAATAAAATAAAAAACTTTCATTATACAATGTGTTTCAAATCAGCATGCCATTAAATTGAAGTTAAGAAATCAAAAAATAAAGCTTTTAGGTAGTTGATATCCAATTTTTCCATCAACTATTATCAAATAACAAAAATATATTTGTTATTTTGCTGCATAAAACAAGCAGTAGTTATAACTTTAATATCAGAGCAACATTTGTCAGAAGGGGCCATTGTTTGTGTAAGGTAAAAAGTGCGGAATAAGAATGAAAATGAGGCTTTGAATTGAGAGCTGACATTTTGTGCAAAAAAATGTCAAAGTTACATCTAACTCCAATCTATACCTCTCAGCACCTCGAGTAAGTGGGACAAGATAAATGGCCTATTAGAGTACATTTGTCATCAGATGTTTATAGTTCTGATATCAAAAGGAAAAAAACAAAAAACAAAATCCAGGTCCTCTCAAGGTATCAATGTGTACTTGTGGTATGGTATCTGGATAGTACCTTGTCTACACCTTGGTTGCAGGCATATACCAAAGCATCTGCAAGTGTAAGTCTGCCTTCAGCATCAGTGTTGTTGACCTGTATTAGAGATTGAAGCCAATAAAATATTCTAAATTGATGGATTAACATGTAAACAGAAATTTATATAATAATCAAGTTCGCTAAAAGCAATAAGAAAACACAAGGAACAATAAAATTTTGTGAATCTTACTTTGTTCAATGATACTAAAGGTACATGTATCCAACTAAACTAAATAGTAGTGATAAATATCATCATTCAAACTGCTTTTTGGGGACACGTTAGCATCAGTAACATAACCACAAAGTTCGACAAAACATTTATACCTTACCACAAGCAAAAGGAACCACCTGAAGTAATAAGATCACAATAAAGGTATCAAATGCAAAATTGGACAGTCATTCCTATCATTCTTGATAACAGTGAACAAAATAAAGCTGTCCAGCATAGATCAACAAAAAGAAAGCTGACAAACAGACAATTTTCCTTTTTCCATTTCGTCTCAGGCCTTCTGATAAATGTGAGGCAGTAAACCACTAAAACTATAAAATAAAAATTATGGCCAGAGAAGCTTCCTACCAAAATCTGACCTCAAATCATCTCAATTCCTAATAACTGAACTGTACATAATGTAGGATATAGAAATTCAGCCTTTGAACAGTAATTGGTACAAACTCAGCTCATGTTTTAACACTAACCTATCAGGTCGGAGTCATTGACTTAACCAAACCAAGCTACTGTTTGTTATGAGTAAACTTGCAAACAGTATATCAATACCCTTTTGTATGGATTACAAAAAAATTCAAAACAAAATCTAAAGCAACGGCTACAACTCTTTTCATAGTAGAATCCAGATGCCTTCCCGGTAGCCCAGGAAGTACGATGAAAAACACTAAAAGCCAGGCAAGTACTTAACAAGGGCGGGCTAAATCTACGAAGGTTGTGTCTTATAGTTCCCATCTGAAATCAGAACTGGTTAGAAGTAACCCAGTTTTGGGCCCGTAGGTCTATATCCTCTGTTAAGAAAACCACAGATGAATTTTCTATTCAAATAACTCCTTAGTAGTTCTTTTCTTTATCTACTCCAAAAGTTAAATGCAAGGGCTCATGTCAAATGACAAAAAAGAGTCAATAGCACCTGCCACCTGGCAAATATCACACTTATAAAAATAAATAATAAATAAAGTAGAATAGTAATATCAAATTAACAAGACAACCATACTACTTTTGCCCCTATCTACCCATAAGAAAACATAACAAAAGGAAAACATATTGGCGTTGTTTTAGTATATATATATATTCATTCAAGGTAGTAAGTGCCAGAATTTTGAAAGAAACTTGAGATGGTAAATTAAAATTTCACAAGTGCCTTTATAGTTTGTGTGTGTGTTTTTCATATTCTTAAAATGCATTGAATATATCATCTTTTTTTCATATCCTTAAAATGCATTGAGTATTTTATTGGGTAGCAAAAAAATTATTATACAAAAAAAAAAATTGGTAGAATTGAATTCTGTTCCAACCCTAGCATGAACCATTGCTAGCACATCTCAAGAATAAAATGCACTCATCGAACTTAATCATGAGGAGCTCACTGAACATATTTTTTCATAAGCATAAACTAAAGACTTCATGTAAAGTTAGCTTTCCTGGATACCCTTATCTGAAATTTGCCAGGAAAAAAAGAATATAATAATAATAATAATAAAGTACGCAAAATTTACATTGAAAAATAAAATATTATGAAAGGGAAAATCATGTAACAACTCTCAAGAAGAGACTCCCTGTCATAGAAAAATTGCGTAAAAAGTGATCATATATAGAATTCAACAAGATACAATGAGTCACTAAACCTCCCATAAACTGAAAAATGGATGTCCTCTTTCTGCAAATTTGAAGTAACTACCTCAATTGTCTTCCCATTTGAAGCTGTCACAATGTCTCCAGGCCTCATACCTGTTCCACTTATCATGTTCTCACAAGCTGCAACAATGAAATGAACCTGCGAGTGGAAGACAATTAATTAAACATATATATGGATTAGCAGATTCAGTTGCTCCAGGGTTGAAAAGTTATGACCAAAAACACAATTTGAATGGAGTATGTAAGATGCAGTTTCTGCAACAACAGTGTCAACTACAACCACAAATGGCTCACCTCTACTCCTGGGGGTTTAATTTGACCAAGAGCTTTTGCTGCACCAAGAACTGCTGCTGCGCCTCCCATGTCATGTTTCATGTATTCAATTGAGCCATGTCCTGTCTTGATGTTATAGCCTCCACTGCACATAAAACATAAATATTCAAGAACCAATATAAATGTAGAGCCAGCAAAAGCATATATAACAGTGAAAACAATTCTATTACTCCAATCACCATAGTAACAGGTAAGGGAAAAGAGCAACTCAAACATAATTATCACATCACCCAATGCTATGTATGTATGTATATAAACTAAAAAAAAAAAAAGCTAAGTGGAGAGTAGAAATGAGCCACAAGTCAGCCCTGGTTATACTTATCATAAGACAAAACCCGTAATATAACTGTCCCTAATCTTTATCGAGGGCTTACTTTATATCTCTCGCAGTTAAGACTTAATAGGCACTGCACCTGCACATACAATTATCCTCTCTGATCTCTTTATTCAAGAAATGGCTGATCTAGAGAAATACCGTTTAAAAATGCATATAATCACCTGTCAAACGTCAACCCTTTTCCCACCAAAGCCAGATTGGTTTTAACAGATCCATTAGGTGGCTTGTAACATAAATGGATGAAATGAGGAGGATTTGCAGAAGCTGCTGCAACACCAAGGTAGGAACCCATTTTCAATTCTTTGCATTGCTCTGCATTCAGAATTGTCGCAGAAATAACATCGCTGTACATGGAAGCAATTTTTGAAGCCTCTTCTGCCAGTACCCCTGAGGTATAAATTACAAAGGATTGTGTCACTTTGTATTAAGCATTGATGTACACATAGAAGGAAGAATGAAAAATAAAGGACCGCTAAAATGCAAAAAATGAAATGGAAAGGTGATATATAAATGTATTACATGCACAATATAAGAAGGGCAATCCATATCGCAACTAAAATATATTAAAGGAAAAAAGAACAATAGAATTATAACAAAGTCTACACACCGGGGGTGAGTACATTGGCTGGCGCATTAACAAGCTCTTTTCCAAAAATTACTCCAGAAGAAACAACTTCCGCGTTCTTGAGCTTCTTCTCTAGCTCAGGTCCAGTTCCGAGACCAAGAATATCCAGAGATTTAAGTGCTGGCTTCTTTGACTCCAATTTAAATCTATTATCCTCATAAGTCCCCATCACAATTCCTAACACAATCCAAACCATTCTACCAAGTTTAAACTTTAAACCGACATTTTGCCACAAACATGCAATCAGTATCAGTCTTGACAAATTTTTTTTTTTTTAAAAAAAAAAAAAGAAAGAAAAAAAGAAAAAGAAATACCAGATGCCATCGCGGAAGCAATGTTAAGTTTTGATTCAGCAGAAAGACCTTCAGCAGATGCAAGAGCAATGGCAACATTACTTGCTTGAGCAGCCTTTGCTGCCACAGCAACAGCCTCTCCAAGACTGCGAAACGCAGCCATAGATGACGTGCACCGTCCAAGCCCAGTTAGGCCAACCCTTTTTGACCCAATACCCGGAAGCCTAAGAGTTGTTGATTGACCAGATTTTCCGGTAAAATCCTCCTCAGAAGTTACTTCAGATAACAAACCACCCAACTGAGAATCGAGTTTCTTTAATACTGCATTTTGAAACTTTGAGTTCTCATCTTTTCCCATGTCTTTCTCCGTCACACCGACTGCAAGTATGTCCCCTTTCCATTCTACTAAATCAATCTCTTTCGCAGCAAAAGAAATCTTTCAAGAAATTTCACAAACGCATAACAAGCATTTTTAGTTTCAAGTTACATAAAGAGAAAATATTTACATACACAGAGAGTGCGCAACACACATACATAAATAAAGATCAATGATTTCACATAGTTTATATATCAACACAAAATGTGAACGAACGGATTATTATTATGAATTTAAGACATGAACACAGAAATTTTCATTGGGTTCACAGAGGTTGAAAGACACATGTACAAGAATCTAATTATAAATTTATAAAATGAATACCACTAAATTTAGAATGAAAAAAACTTCTATGTTTTTGGTAAGAAAGTACATCACATATTCCCATACTCAGATATGAAGTGTTCATAGAACTTTAACCAAAATAAATAAGAATGATAAAAGAAAACGATTTCATGGCATACACAAAAAATGAAAAACATACACGTACCACAGACACAGACGAATATATAAGTAGAAGTCCATAATCTAATAGTTTATAATTGGAGATGATAATACGGCGACATATCCATATATGCAGAAGAAAGCAGATTGTTTAGAGAGAAAGAAAGACCTTGGGGTGGTCGATTTGAGCAGGGTGAGTGAGGCCGAGAGTGGCCTGGGCAAGAGCGTGAGCCATGAACGCACGATCGAGTGTGAGTGTGAGTGTGAGTGTGAGTGTGAGTGCGAGGGCGAGTGCGAGGGCGAGTGCGAGTGTGACCCTGCAAATGAAAATCGCAGCACTGAAATTGGATTGGATTGGATTGAACAATATTTCGTGAAAACCGAAGAAGAAGATGAGGTTTAATTGAAAAGCGAACAGAGTGTTGACAGAGGGAGAGAGATCCTACAATGCTGGCTCTTTTACAGTTTGCGTTTCTGTACATTTGTATCTTATGTACGAAAGTATTGATCTGTGGGGTTGACATTGTCTTTTCAAAAAAAAAAAAAAATTTATATCTACATGGATTTTTAATTCTAAAATAACATTCATAAAATTTGTATTAATTGTCTGTTTATATTAAAAAAGGGATCTGGGTTATCTGTTGTATTTTTTTATTTGTTTATTTCTGTATGGGTATTTGACTATTTGTTGTAAACTTGCAACACAACTTAAGTTTTTTTCTTTTATTGTATCTCATGGATAAGAAATTTATTCAAAGTAATAAGTATGTTATATATATTTTCACTTTAATTTCGCTTTTACCAAATCACTTTGATGAAAATTAACAGTATATTAAATCAATTATAGAAAAAATAAAAGAAAAATAATTTATATTATCTTTAACAAGTCACGACTCAGAGATGAAAAAATGTTGGGATTTGTTGAAAAATACATTAATTTAATCGATAACACGCAACGACATTGTTAATTAATTACCCTCGTTTTGGTATAGACTGTAGTTCAAAGTAGCCTGACTACATATCAATTTTTTTTGGTAAATAAATTATAAAATTCAACTAGCTGAGTTTAGATCATTGACTGGGCCATTACATGGTCCGAACCAGGGCCCGCCCCGGGCCTTCAATTTGGGAGGGGCTCAAATATAGGACATTGACCTCCAATTTGAAAGGGCTTCAAAGTTCGTCTAGGGCCTCTTAAAATTTTGAGAATTTTAGGGGCAACTTTGAACCATATATTAATTTAACGTTATGTTTCAAGTCAAAAGTCTTGCATTTGTAGATGTTTTAAGTCTTCATTATGCTGCATTTGGTATGCAATAATGAAATTGAATGTGAATGGAATGGTCATTCTAATTCCATTGTTTGGCTTCAAATATGAAATGTGTAGCAATAGAATGATAATAATTATTCTAATATTTATTTGGACCAATTTAAAATTTAGAATGGAATAAATTTCAAATTGAATTCTTTAAAATACCCTTCTTAGTGATAAATAAATTAAATTAACAAGATAACATTTTTCTATAATTTTTTAAAAGATAGGTGGTGGCGGTGAATGACGATGGACGATGGTGGTGGAAGCAATGGCGGACCCAGAAATATATTCTGGGGTGGGCTAGTACTTTTTTTTTACCCCCCTTTGGATCCGCCCCTGGGTGAAAGGCGACAGTGATGTTGGTGGAAGGTGGTGGTAATGGTGGAAGGTGTCAGCGGTGTAGGATAGTAGGTGATGATGGTGGAAGGTGACGGTGCTATAGGTGGTGGTGGTGGTGGTGTTGAAGGCGGTGACAATGATGGTGATGGTGGAAATGACGGTAGGGAAAGGCAATGGAAGTGTGGTCAAATGCAACATTGGTGGAAGTCGGTGGTGATGGTGGAGAGGTGCCAGCAGTGGAAAATAGTAGAGGTGGTGGCGGTATGGTGATTGAATGCGGCAACAATATCAGCGGTGGTAATAGTGGTTGTGATGGAAGGTGGTGATCATGGTAGTTTTTTGACTTGGAACATGAAGTTTTTTTGGAACTTAATATTTTTTTTAAAAAAAATTTTACTTGAGAATAAAATGGTCATTTTATAGGCTTAGTTGTGAAATGAATTTTCATTCTTATTCTAATGGAATGACTATTTTCATTTTAAATTACATACCAAATAAAGAAATTATTAGAATGGATCTTTCATTTCATTCTAGCAGCACACCAAACATAACATTAAAGTCCAAGAACTACTTCTTTCTGTAGCGCATTTGTTATACCATTTGGGCCATTTGTGAAAATATGGTCTTCCAATGGTTTCTATTACTTTATAGTTGTCTTTGTTGAGTGGCCATGTCAATCACTAAGGCTACATTTGATACACTTTAAAGAAAATAAATTATAATATTAATGAAATGATAGTGTTAGCCACTTATTTATTTGGTTGATTAATAAAAAATTAGAAAAAAAGAACTTGATTGAAAGGAAAAGAAACTATCTTAATTAATATATTGTCAAACTCGATTTTGTATTTTATAAAAATAAGGACAAATTTGATATTAATAAAGTTTTATTCCAAAAATTAGTATTTTCTTTCATTTCCTCCCTTCTTTCGGAGGATAACAAAACCAATTCGTGTATCACTCCAAATTCTTCAATTTCCTTTCTTCTCCTTTTAAAATTTTATACCAAAAAATAAAAAAATTCATATCCCTCATTTCTTTTCTATTCAACCAAATTGGGCATCCGAGTCTTAGTCTAGTGTTAAATTTTTATATTTCAAAAGTAAAAAAAGTTCTAGTGTGTTTGTATAGTGTTAAATATTTTTATATTTTTATTTTTTTAATCCCCAAAGAAAAAAGGTTGATATTTGAGAATTTAAGAAAAAGATAGAGTAAGTAGTGGGCATGCCAAGATGGGCAAATGTCATGATTGAGGCAAATCCTGAAATTCGGCACAGACAATGATAAGACCAAGACTAAGACTCCTTTTTGGTCAATTAGTGTTTGTGAGAGCTAATGACTAACCACCACCCACTACCGCACAATCTACAATAGATTTCCTAAGCTATCAATTATCAGACCCATTACTTTTCGGGGATACCAGAAATATGGATTTACCATAGGATTCTTTCTTATATTTGAGAATTTGGGACGGGCTCAAATATAGGACATTCACCTCTAATTTGAAAGGGCTTCTGATTTCTCTCAAAATTTTGAAAATTTTAGAGCTGACTTTGAATCATATAATAATTTAACGGTATGCTTCAAGTCAAAAGTCTTGCATTTGTAGATGTTTTAAGTCTTCATTGTGTTGCATTTGATATGCAAAAATGAAATTAAATGTGAATGGAATAGAATGATCATTCTAATTCCATTGTTTAGCTTCAAATATGAAATGTGTAGCAATAGAATGATTATAATTATTCTAATATTTATTTGGACCAATTTAAAATTTAGAAGGGAATAAATTTCAAATTGAATTATTTGAAATACCCTTCTTAATGACAAATAAATTTAATTAACAAGATAACATTTTTTTATAATTTTTTAAAAGATTGGCGATGAATGACAATGGACGATGGTGGTGGAAGCAATGGCGGACCCAGAAATATATTCTGGGGTGGGATAGTACTTTTTTTTTTGAACTGAACTAAAATTAGCTATAGTATATATTTTTTTTTACCCCCCTTTGGATCCGCCCCTGGGTGGAAGGCAACAGTGGTGTTGGTGTAAGGTGGTGGTAATGGTGGCAGGTGTCAGTGGTGTAGGACAGTAGGTAATGATGGTGGAAGGCGACGGTGGTATAAGTGGCGGTGACGGTGGCGGTGGTGGTGAAGGCGGTGGCGGTAGTGGTGATGGTGATGGTGAAAATGACGGTAAAGAAAGGCAACGGAAGTGGTCAAATGTAGCATTGGTGGTAGTTGGTGGTGATGGTGGAGAGGTGCCAACGGTGGAAAATAGTAGAGGCGGTGGCAGTATGGTGATTGAATGCGGCAACAATGTTGGCGGTGGCAATGATGGTGGTGGAAGGCAATAAAGGTGGAGGTGGTTGTGGTGGAAGGTGGTGGTCATGGTCGTGGTCATGGTAGTTTTTTGACTTGGAGCATGAGGTTTTTTTGGAATTTAATATTAAAAAAAAAAAAGTTAATTGAGAACAGAATGATCATTTTATAAGTTTAGTTGTGAAATAAATTTTTATTCTCATTCAAATGGAATGGCTATTTCCATTTTAAATTGCATATCAAATAAAGAAATTATTAAAATGGATCTTTCATTTCATTTCAGTACACCAAACATAACATTAAAGTCCAAGAACTACTTCTCTCTATAGTGCATTTGTTATACCATTTGGGAAAATATGGCCTTCCAATGGTTTCTATTACTTTATAGTTGTATTTGTTGAGTGGCCGTGTACATTTGATACACTTTAAAGAAAAGAAATTATAATATTAATGAAATGATAGTGTTATTCACTTATTTATTTGGTTGATTAATAGAAAATTAGAAAAAAAGAATTTGACTGAAAGGAAAAGAAGCTATTTATCTTAATTAATATATTGTCAAACTCGATTTTGTATTTTATAAAAATAAGGGCAAATTTGATATTAATAAAGTTTCATTACAAAAATTAGTATTTTCTTTCATTTCCTCCCTTCTTTGGGAGGATAACAAAATCAATTCGTGTATCACTCCAAATCCTTCAATTTCTTTTCTTCTCATTTTAAAATTTTATACCAAAAAATAAAAAAATTCATATCACTCATTTCTTTTCTATTCAACCAAATTGGGAGTGCTAAATTTTTATATTTCAATAGTAAAAAAGGCTCTTTTTTTAATCCTCAACAGAAAAAAGGTTGATATTTGAGAATTTAAGAAAGAGAGAGAGAAAGTAGTGGGCATGCCAAGATGGCCAATGTAATGATTGAGGCAAATCCTGAAATTTGGAACAGACAATGATAAGACCAAGACTAAAGACCCCTTCTTGGTCAATTAGTGTGTGCGAGAGCTAATGACTAATAACCATCCACGACCGCACAATCTACAATATATTTCATAAACTATCAATTATCAGACCCATTACTTTTTGGGGGATACCAAAAATATGGATTTACCATAGGATTCTTTCTTATATTTTTTAATTGCATTATAGGCTCTCTGTTTAAATTGGAGTCTACTAGTGAAGTTTTCTCATTTGACTCTCGACTCTCAACTCTCAAGTTGAGTTTATAGATTTGTTTTTATTTGTTTTGAGTTGTTCAGTGCTCTTGCCTCTTAGTTTGGTGTCACTTTTAATTCCCATCTCAGGTTTCTTATTTTAGGTACGTTATTGATTATACAACCCTTTATTGTTGGGTCGTAATCAATTATTTTTGCAGAGCTAGCTAGGTTTAATGCAATCAGAGAACCGTGATTGGAAAGCAAGTCTTAAAAATGCCATGCTACTTGAGATCAAGGACAGTTTAAAGATGCATGTGGATTGTTTCTGGTTGAGAAAATGTAGTCTCAGTCTCACCATACCTTCAATTTTCATAAAAAAGTGTACTAATTTTACATGTTCTCAACACAATAGCTTACCATTTTACATACTTAGTTTACAACTTAATGTCAGTCGTGAATTCACTGTTAATGAATTATATATACACAACCCGCTTGGTGGTTAAGTATATAAATCCAGATGCTTCAAAATTATAATGTGTCTTATATATATATATATATATATATATATATATATATATAATTTTAGAGAAAAAAAAAAATGGTACAAGTCTTGAACAGGGATAACATGGCACTATGCATATTCAAATCTCCTAAACTTTTCTTTTGTCTTATTTTACGATTAATCATTAAACATGACTTATGTTATATTTGCTCACTCTCTGTTTATTACTATTACTAAATTTGGTTTGAGGGTAGAGCAACTGAGGGTGTTAAAAATAAAATATATAAAAAAAAAAAAAAGAAACAAAAAACAAAAAGGTCTCACAGTGATAAGCAAAACGCCAAATACAACTGGATATAAGCGGTTTAAACCAGCTAAAACAGGTTCTTCCGGTCACCAACCAATAAATAAAAATACAAAAGACCAATCAATCTTTTGAGTTTTTCTCTCTTTCACTCATTTATTCTTTATTTCTTCCCCACACCTCACTCACTCTGCCTCTCTCTCTCTAAAATCTAGAGAGAGAAACACCAAATTCCACTCAGATCATCAATCCTTTCTTCAAAATTCTTCCAAGATCGATCTATTCTTTCTCAGGTACGTCTCGGAATCAAACTCATTTTTCTCGCATTTTCTCTCTTTCAGGAAAACACTGGGGAAGTATAGTATTTCGAAAAACAAAATGTCAGCTTTTTCCATGTAAAAAAAGCATTGAAAAGACAGACTCCCAGTTCGATCTTTTGAGAGCCCCACAGAGAGCTTCGATTTTAGACAATGCACAAAGGAATCTCTTTGTTTCGAGGCTCTTTGATAGCTCATATTCAAACGCTCTCCTCTACAAACTGTCTGTGTGTGTGAGCTCTGTACACGTATATTTATATATAAACCTAGCTTTTGGTCAAAAGCTGATTACATTTCATGTATTAAAATATGTTATGTGATATCTAGGGGCTTTCAACGGATTTGAAGTTTAAATTCTCAGAAAATATGGCGGCCTCTTTAAGATGCAGAGTGTGGTGGTTTAAAAATGTTTTGAAGGGGTTTTGCTGTGTGTTTTCAGGACCTGAGTAAACAGTAGTAGTGGAAGTAAGTGCAATTTGTGGGGGATTTTGAGGGCAAAAGTCTGAAATTTATGTCAGGAGCTTTGAGAGTGAGTTGTGGAAAGGATTTTAAGTGGCGGAATTCGGATGGCTTTGAGGGTTTATATAGGTTATTTTGAGGATATGGTTACCTTCTTGAGGTGGCATAAGTCTATTGGGAATTTTTGAGGGCCAACAAGCTGAAATCTCTGTTCGGAGCTGTGGGACTGAGATGAGTTTTGAATTATTGTGAGGGTTTAGATTTGTGATTTTGGGCATTTGACTTGAATCTAAGTCTGATGAAACTGGAAATTTTGGGGGAAGTTTGAGGGGCAGCTTTGAGATTTGTAGAGAATTAAAAGGGGCTTTCTTCTGATGTCAGGAGCAACAAGAGTGAGGTCAATGAATGTGGCCGATTCGGAGGGGAGGCCAGTCCTCGGGCCTGCTGGAAACAAGGCACAGAGGTCCATGACTGCCCACAGGCTGGTGACAAAGCCGCTGAGAAAGATGGAGAAATCACTGGAGGAGGTTATGGAAGTGGCAGAAGAGAAGAATGCTCTTCCCTCATCTACAGTTGATGCATCATTGTCGCCTCCATTGCATTCAGTTAGGGTCCCTTCAGTTCTCCGGAGGCAAGAACAGTTACTACACTCAAATTTCTCACTCAATGCTTCGTGTTCATCTGATGCTTCTTCAGATTCATTTCAAAGTCGGGCTTCAACTGGTAGGATATATAGAACAAACAGTATGAGTCGGAGGAGGCATTTGGGCTCAAATTCAAAAATTGTTGCACCTGATGCAGTTTCAGAACCCTTACCAGATACTTTACAACCCAATAAAAGGTGCGCCTGGGTTACACCAAATACTGGTATGTTTATTGATCCTCTGATATTGACAATATTTTTACATAATTTCTCGAGTTATTGTACCCTATAGGTAATATCACTAGTAATTGTAATAATTTGCATGAATTGTTACCTGACAGATCCTTTGTCTAGTAGCTCACCTCGGTTTGCTTTTATTGATCAGTTTAATGTATCAACTTAAAGATATTACTTAGGAGAGACCTTCAAAATGTGGAATATGACTTCTCTTACTTGTTTATTAATTAAGTTGTATTACCACCATAGGCCATAGCCTAGTTGTATCTCCTCTACCTCCCAATGTGGGAGGTGAGGGTTTGAGTCCCCATAGGGAGCCAATGGGCATGTGAGTTTCTTGCCAATGAGAAAAATAATTTAGTTGTATTTGGTAGCTTTTTTGTGAAAAAAAAAAAGAAAAAAAAAAAGGAAGAAGTATTACTGAGTCCTGGGGTGTGTATCGAACTTCATAGTTTTAAGAAAGTCATTCCTAAGAAAATCTTCGTCTAAATTAAACTGTTTTCAAGGCGGGCTTGGTATGGTTTATCTCGAATTCAAAACACCATCTATATTGAATCTCATTTTGCGATAATAATGTCATGAATATGTAATTGAGAATTATTTTTTTGGTTTTGTTTGAAAAAAACCAGATTTTATATGAAGTGAAGTTTTGCTATCTTAGTAGCGGGCCTAGTTTTCTTGTTATCTGCATTAGCAAAGGAGTAGTTAGTCTATTCCAACATGAACATAGCCAGTATTGCCATTTGATGAGAGTTACGTGTTTTTTATTGTAAACATGCTTTCAGTTCTCTGGAAAATCAAACACTGTATATTGGTAACTAGAGGTTTGGTTTATTGTTGACATATTTGCTTTGGATCCTGCCTAGAAAAAAACAAAGCCCTCTGCTCTCTTTTCTTTAGTCCATCTCAAAATCCATTTCTTGTCAATTGTCAACATACAAATATGTTCCTTCCTCATTGCCCATTATATGGGTCCATAAGGCATATCAACATATGCGTAACTACCTTATTGGCATGAAGAACCTTTAGATCACAACATTGTTTGATTTGCTAATGCTGTATCGATTTATTTTGGGGAAGTTACACGTAATTGCTTATTTTCAATGGCTAATAAGCTCCGAGTGGTATTTCTCTGTTGAGATGTTTAATTGGCCAAAAAATAACTGCAGTTCTTGTACTTATTAATTCATGGTTTTGTACTAATGTTCAATTTTGCCCAAATCCAAGAGGATCACAGCTATTAGCAGATTTGCTTCAGTATTTCCACCCAAGATTATTACTATTATATATATATATATATATATATATATATATATATATATTTTTTGAATACTAGCCAATGCACATAAATTTGGTTTTCACTGGTTCATGGGTTCACAAAATTCTATATCAAGGCAAGGGGTGCTAAACTTTAATATGATTAACTGATTGAGTATAGTTGGTTTTAGTACATGAACCTTTTTTCTTGATTTGAATTGTGTTTTATCCACACTATATTACTTGAAACGTTTAATAATGAGTTAGAACATATTCTTAAAATGGAATGCACTATATTTTAAGTGTAGTTTAGGCTTTTACTATTTGCCTCTGCACTTTTAACTTTGTGTCTAATGACTACGCATTCTAGATTAATTTCTTTTTCTTTTTGTTGTACATTTCACTCATGCTTTTCCATTTGTGGGTGCAAGCATTGAAAATATATTGTAGGATGTTCAGTATCTAAGAAATAGTATTAAGTGTTCAATCAATAGGTATTCTTTAAATGCACCAATAATTTGTAAATGTGTGAAGTTTCATCCTCAGTTACATGGACTCTTCAAAAGTTGGTAAATTACCCGTGTCAAACATACAATACTTGGAAATGGGTATGGGATATGTGTTCGACGCCTTTGGTTGGACACGTACTTAAAAAGCATATCCAATAATTCAATTTTATTATATTGCTTCAAAGCAAGTGAAAATTGAACACTGCACTACATAAAGACGTTATTTTACTCCAAAAAATAAAATAAATATATTAAAAAATATGAACATTTAACAAGTCCAATACCCGCACCCAATACACGTACCTGAGTCCATGTAATGATGCTTAGGCACCACACTAACCATGCCCCATCTTAGGAGGTCAAATTACTTGTGTGACCTAGATGACTTGACTACTATGCTTTCAAATTCTATCTGCTCACTGTTTTTGATATGCTTAAACCAGACCGGTGTTATGCTGCTTTCCACGACGAAGAATGGGGAGTCCCAGTGCATGATGACAAGTATGTGATCACAGTATTGTTTGCATTTGTCTATCAACTCTGAAGGCTATCCTCTCCCAATATAGAGATCCAATTGATAGTTTTTTGGTTTGATTTATATCCTTGACTGCATGCAGGAAATTGTTTGAGCTTCTTGTCTTTTCGGGGGCTTTGGCTGAACTTACATGGCCTTCCATTCTCAGCAAAAGGCAAATATTTAGGTATTTTCCTGATAAAATTCCTCACATGTTCTCTATTAACCAACAGATTAGTCCTCTGTGCTATCCCTATGTCAATCTCTAGTTCCTCTAGTCTCTTCGTTACTGCTGTGGCCTTGCTCTATGTTTGTCTTACAACAAAATTTCTGTGTGCAGGGAAGTCTTTGCGGATTTTGATCCTACTGCTGTTGCAAAATTCAATGAGAAGAAAATTCTAGCATCCGGAAGCATGGCAAGCTCACTATTATCAGAGCTTAAACTGCGTGCCATTATTGAGAATGCACGTCAAATATCCAAGGTAGGTTCTCAATATTTTTCTCTTCACCCTTGAATGGCAGAAGATCACGTGTTGGCTTGGTAAAATTGTACTCTATTCCTTAAGAATGGTTGAAAGGGATCCATGTAACTATCCCAACAAGTTGGAAGAAGGTTTAAGTCGTTGAGTAATATATTTTTTTTAGGAATAATTACAAAGATAAATTACAAATGGAAGTCTAAAATAAAATCTCGCAACAGAAAGATAATCAGCATAATTTTTTAAAGGACTATGATCTTCCTATCCAGAAAACATGATTGGCTAAAGATTCCCTCTCTTTTATCAACCACCGTTTTTCATAAAGATGCAGTGGATGTTCAATGGTTATTTGATAAGGTAGATTAGGTAGAGAGTAGTTGAATTGTGGTCCTGACTCATCTGCAATTTGTATGACCAATATAGGATGACCATAGGTCTACCATCTGCACACACTGTCGTTAATAATTCTCTAATTTCAACTTAACAATAAAATAAATAATCCTCTAATTTCAGGACCCATTCATGCAACAACCTATTAATTTCTCTTGTTGAGCATGCCAGCTTGCTAAGTTGAGTAATGTCAGCTATTAAAACACCAACGATTAACCTTTGTTGCTGAAGAAGTAAAAAGGTCATTATTCATTTCAAGGTTCTTTCTTTGATTATCACTGCAACTAACTTTTTGCAGGTTTTGCTGATGGCAGGTCATAGACGAATATGGGTCATTCGACAAGTATATCTGGAGCTTCGTGAACTACAAGCCTATAGTTAGCAGATTCCGCTACTCTCGTCAGGTTCCTGTTAAGACCCCAAAAGCAGATGTGATAAGCAAGGACCTAGTGAGAAGGGGTTTCCGGAGTGTGGGGCCCACAGTCATCTACTCATTCATGCAAGTAGCAGGTATGACAAATGACCACCTAATTAGTTGCTTCAGATTCCAGGAGTGTATTACATCAGCAGAAGCGAAGGAAGAGGATGGCATCAAGGAGAAGGCCGACGAGAAGAAAACAATGATGGAATCACATGTAGGCAGAGGTATAGATGAATTGAGTTTGTTTTCAGAATGATGGATCTGTTGTCTTGGTTGGTGGCAGACAGGCTTCCCATGTTCAATCATTAGTTTATCCATATTGACTGATATCTGGTTCTACTTAACATTGGGTAGCTGTGAAGGTGGTTTTTGTATAATACTTCCATGTTTTTCTATGCGTCATAGGAACGTAGATTGTAGATTAATAGAAGGGATCAAGATTAACCAGTGGCTACTGTCGATTGGAAAGCCTATAACTTTGATGTACAATTTTCTGTACAGTGGAAAAGGTTAGCAATTAGAATTTCTTTCTTAAAACCAAATTCTACATTTGAGCAAATTATCCAGAAGGGGGGAAAGGGATAGTTCTTTCTAACAAGATCGTAAAGTTCAGCTAGGGACTGGCTTAAAATGTGGTGGACAGCTAGAAATTAAACTGACCGGTGGGCTCTTGCTTTTAATGTGTGAGAAAGATGGGTTATATTGACAGCTTGTATTGGTGACTGATAGTAGATTAGCGGCACCATGTTTTGTCTCCCTAGAAGAGTTCTATACTTGAAAAAAACATATATTGTTTCCTGTGTTGAGAGCAGCATTGATGAACCAATGTGGGGTAAGTCTGTTTTGAGGCAGAAATTTAGATAGTGACCTTGTCTCTGAAAGTTGTTACATGGGATTCCTGACTTGATTGTTCCAACTGGTTGCTTTTCTGCTCTCAATCCTTATCTTGGTGGAAGGGAAGCAGATGATTACTTTTCCCGCTTTAACGAAGTTGGGGCCATGACCCATGCGGAACCAATTTTCCATTATCAGTGTTGTTTTTAAATGTATCTATCACAGCCATCTTTCAGAAACTCAACCAACAACTCCAGCATCTAGGAATGCCAATGGGGTGAACTTGGGGTACAGAATCTTTGGTCACGAAATCAATATTTGGGCCATTAGTATGTTCATATTGGAGTCATAGGAACTCTAACATCCAGCAATTTGTTCTATTTGAATTTCATTTTCTCACAGAGAAGGTAATGCAATGGGTGTCAATCAATTACAATATTCCACATCATCTGCCTAAACTACTTAAAATGTAACATACAGCAAATATACACACCGGTATACTGATGATCTAAATCAAACTACAAGAAATGAAATAAACATACATGACAAGGGAGAAAGGGAAAAAAAAAAAAAAAAAATCAAACCGATATATTCATACAGCTCATAAACTGATAAATTATCATGGAAGAAAAGCCCAAATAACTTTCTTGCCCAACTCCTTGTGACAGCTTCAGCAAGGCTTGATCTCGAACCCAATGCTCAACAGAGTTCGAGCTGATTCCATTGCCTTCTCTCCACCAATGTCCAATGTTTCACCTGTCAATTCACCTTCTGTGTCCACTGACCATTTCGTAGCAGGTGTTTTCTTGACTTGCACATTGTTCATGGAAGCAGGAGCTGCAGCAGCAACAAGAGGAGCACTTGGTGGACCATGTCTCTTCTTTGGTACTGGCATGTCATGATCATGTACACCCTTGTATGTTATTATGACAGCGCTTGAGTTATCTACAGCCCTTTCAATGTGCTTTCTCACAGGACACGCAGCTGAAGTGCATCTGTAGTAGTTTCTGAAAATTTGATCAAGAGATGGTTCAGAACACGAGAGAACGTCTACGGGCTAGTTTCAAAGATAACAAAGAAAGAATTGTCATGATAACATAAAACCATAATATACAGCAGAAATGCAAAATTGGAATCAAATAGTCCATCCCAAATAGTTGGAAGAAGACTTTACTATGTCAAGCATTTGCAGTTGTAAAGGGCGTTAAAGAATTCCACACTCAATTTTATTAATTTCCTTTACTTGGACAACCCTGAAAGGAAATCAAAATTTCCTCGAGAGATTTAAGGAAATAAACAGGAGCACCCAATCACAACTCATATATCCACCGAAAGGGCGTTATTCAATGAATTTGTCAGAAATTGGCTAGCCACTACTTAATTACAAAAAATAATAATAATAAATAAATAAGGGGATACGCTAGCCACACCATTGCAGACAACCTTCCCCACTCCCCAAAGAAAAAAAAGAAAAAAAACATGTTTACACCTCAATTCATACCGATCATGACTTAAAACCTCACCTTCAAGTTCTCAATTACTGAAATGAGACAACTAAGTTCAATTCTGCAAGGCAATCCGAAAATGCATCTTGATCAATCCGGGATCTCTTAAAATTACTTACAAAAAAAAAAAAAAGATCTCTTGAAATTCGTAGGACCATATTTGACTTGAACTGATTCCCCAGGTTCATATGATTTGATCATTTGACCAACTTAAACAAATTGACTAGAATACCTACAGAAATCCAAACGTTGACCTGATGCATGACAATTTGGAAAGCATATTTGAGGACCTCAAGAATGATCATAAAATACATAAAATTAAATTAAAATAAAAAAGAAAAAGAGCTCCCCATGATGTATAGTAGGATGCATGTATTTCTGAAAATATATTTTTTAACTGAAATTTGGGTTCCACTCATTTCTCTAAAAATACTTACATTTATTAGACAGAACTAATTTCAAATGAAAATAGACTTCCCAAGCTTTTCGACAATGGGTAGCTTGCAAAATTCAAAATTTGAACAAGGGAATATGAATTTTCCAAGTTGGAGGTGGGGATTTATTTTTTTGGGAAAATTAAAGTTCAAGAACATAAAGAACACCAAAAAAAAAAAAAAGTGTGCTGCTAGAGCACCTGGCAAGGTGCTATGCAGCTTGCTGGGTGCTGTAAATACCTCATAAGGTGCCACAAACACCAAAGTGCCAGAATGTAACTCCCAAAATTCCCTACAAATCAATCTTTACCAAAACTTCTAAAACTAAAACACTCTTGATCCGGTCAGCAAAATATCGTGTAAGAGGGTCCATTAGGTTTGAAAAACACCCAAAAACATCTAGAAATCAATTTGAGACCAGTTTAGGCAAGTCAGGGAGGGAGGAGGGTACATTAAGGTGCAAAATCCTAGCGTGGAAGTTAACAATACCCACACTATAAACAGTTCTCATCTTCATCTGCCCAACAAAAGATCAAGCAAGCATCCAATACACCTCTAAGCCTAGTATGAAAGTAGGATATACGCTCTACCAAATTACATAAAAATACCTCAATTCATGTCTCTATTCTTGAGCACGAGATCTATTATGACAAACGAAACGAACCCAAGATAGAACCAAGAATCACGACAAAAAAGTAAACACATCACACAAAAAGAACACAAAGATTTATACGTGGTTTGGCAACAGCCTACGTCCTTGATTGGGATCCAGTGAAAGTTTTCACTGTGTGTAAAATCAAAGATTACAAGTTTTCAGCCCCTCACTCTGTTTCTGTACGAATTTCAGAGTTGCTCACTTACACCACTCCAAACCCTAAGCGTCCTTATATATCGGGCTACAAGAGAATAATTAGGGTCCACGACCAATGAGCAAAAAAAAGGTCAAAAATTTCCTCGGGGCGAGCCCCCGAACCAATCCATGCAACCTAGCACCAAATTCGGGCCACAACATCACAAGATCAAATTAATAGGCATTAAAGGAAAGCTTGTTTGAGAAGGAACTCGAAGTTGGCATTCTCTAATCCACTTCAATCATTCTTCAGAAAAGCTTTGGGGGGTTTTGACAGGACTTTCAGCAGTCTCAAACAAAGGTTGGTGAATTGGCTACCTTGGATCTCTTAGGTTGTGTCAACTTTTTCATTGCATGCTTGACTTGTGGTGACCATATGTATAATGCTATAGACACCTTGAGATGTGTTCACATTGTTTCCAAGACTCTTGGACATGGCTACTTACTTTTAAATGTGTTTTATAATATAAGATTTATTTGAAATAGTTTATGGACATGTTGGCCAAGTTATCTGGAAATTTATCAAAGTGTCTAGGTTGTTGGCCAAGTGTCTGGAATAGTGAAAATTTATTTTAAATAATACACACCCATGAAGTGATGGATATTTGCCCGACACGGACATGGAACCTTCATAGAATGTCCATGCTTGTTAGAGTCGCAATATCAACATGGATGCTTGGTGTCATACCCATCTCACATGTCCATAACCATGGTTCTTAGGTTGGATTTGTTCAATGGCTTTTATATTCTCAAGAACATCAATATGATAGTTTAAGTAATGCCTACCTTAAGATGTTTCATCTTTGTGTTTGGGGCTTTAAAATCCCTAGATGACTTGAAAATTTCAATCTTCTATCGATCTAAAATAAAGGATTCTAATACTGAAAATTCTCAAAATCATTTTTGACCTCAAATCCTTCATCCAATCCTTCACCCAAACACATGAAAGGACTTGCACTACAGAAGGGACTATCAACTATTGGATATCAGCATAATGTACCTACATATGATACAACATCAAAGATAAAGCAATTATACTCCGAGAAAGGCAAAATATAAGAATGATAAACCCTTAATTTACAGTTAAGCCACAAACTAAAAGAAATCAGATGAAATGCATCATATAAACAGTTTGTGTTGAAAGATTTGCACGCACCTAGGATGAGGATTTCCCTTCACCATCTTTTGTCCATATTTACGCCACCTATAGCCATCTCCTGAGATTCCCACATCACCAGCAGCATGCACAACAAATTTAGGTTTCTTTCCAGGTTTAAAGAGAGAACCTGAATATGATGAGTTGCTTTTCTTCACTCTGATTACACAGACAATGGAAATAGAGTAAAGACAATAAATTACAACACCGCATTTTTCAATAAGAAAACAAAGTATGAAACCAAAATTCGAAAACCAACGTCATGGGCAACTTGCCTTCGTTTTGATTCGGGTTCATCAAGATTCTCCTCCTTGATCTGAAACCAAACATTTTCATCAGAACCGTTTGAGTCCTGTCCTTTTGTTTCAGGTAGTGGGGCTGTTTCTTTTATAGGTTCTTTCGAGAAAGTGGATGGACTTGAATTATCAAGTGTTTTAACCGGATCTGCTGTACTATTAGGAACAGTAGATAGTGCAAGCCTACTTTCCCTTGTGCAATTGATTTTACGGGGAGGATCATGAGTGTGCTGACCTTTACATATGATCTCTATAACACGGTTAGAGTGATCAGAGCACTCAATCTTTTTGGCACAACAATCTGAATATGTGCATTTGTAATAGCTTCGAGAACCTTGAGGACTCTTCACCTGTTTCTGACCATACTTCCGCCAGTTGTACCCATCGGTGGTAGGCGTCTTCACAACAGATACAGCAGATATAGCTTTAAGGTCAGAATAACTCTGCTGATCCACTTCTGGCATACATACATTATGAACATTTGCTATTAGTGACTGTCTGTGTCTTGGTAGCGTTGGATTTGAGGTGGATGAAATGGACTGTGTAACAGAAGTTAGTGATAATTCGGATGAAGAATTTGGGTACCCAGGTAAGTGAAGCTGATTCTGTGTATGAGCTTGAGCAGCCTGGGTTGCACTTAACAAAGCTTCCTGGTGGGGTACCTCAACTTGATCCTGAGGGAAACAAAGCAAGTAAGATTAAAATTACACAAATGTACAGTAAAGGACAAATCTAGATCCCAAAGAACCATAGTCAGCTTGTGAACACATTGGAGACAAGAGTATTACACACACACACAACAACAACAACTAGCACACATATAACAAACAATATGTAACATTACTGACACGGCTAATTCATTGTTATCCTCATTGACCACAGTGCCGTCTTCAGTCAGCGACATAAACCATGCTAGAATATTGGGCAAGGCACAAGGAAGAATTTTTTATGATAAGCTTGAATTTAGAAACCAGTAAGGCACTGCAATAATGGTTAAGAAGCTGTCAAAAGTGAAACTGAAGAAAGCAGAGGAAGTCCATTGAATACTGAAAAATCTAAAGAAAAACCACCACCAAGAATTGGCTAACAAAGAAGAACTTGAAATTACCCATTGTCTAACAGCAACGGGATCAATGAGTTCCTTATTTAATCCATCTTTAGAAGACTAAAGGAACTGTTTATTATAGGCTAAAGCGAGTCACAATGGCAGTCTACCCTAAAAAATTATAATTAGAAGGCCAAACCACAGATTTTTATCATGCAACTACTTCCAACTTAAGACAATTTAGACTTGAGCAATAAGAAATGTGGAGTATTCCACTGCTAGAAAATTTAAAACTTTCTACTAGCGAACATTAACTTTATGAAACAAGGACTTCCATGCAACATGAATTAGGAATAAAACTTTCACTACAAATTCCTGCAGATAACTAATTTCTAAAGATTAAACACCACTGAATACTAGAGATGGAATTATAAGTTTCCTGCAGATAATTTTGAACTTCAAAACAACCAAAGTTCAAAACTATATCAATGTTTAATCTCTCTTAAGTTGTTCCCCAAGAAGGTGCGGCTATAGATTGGTAATTAAAGTGCAATAACCAACTATAAGGGAACAGCACAGTTCAAAGTTCAAAGTTCAATTCAGTATTTTTAAAGAGATAATGGATCCATTGAAATCATGAGGGTGACAATTTTCAAATGGCATTTTCTTACACGTGTTGAACCACACATGGATTGCTTGGTCTGTGACACACACACACACATATTTGGTTGGGAAGTTTAGGCATGCTTGGGCAGTAGTCAGTGAAGACCGGTAGGCATGTATTCATTTGTTACTAACAGTGCAGGTAAATGGTTAGAATGTATATGTCGCTGTATATTTTGTACCTCAGTGAAACAACTTTGGTAGATACTTTGGTGTTCAAAAAGGCTTGTCATGATAATCTTGGACAACAAGCTAAAGCCTTTCGTGTTTTGCCCAAAAATATAATGCAATTCATGTCAAAGAACCATACAAGGTACGCTGAGTGTTCATGGCAATCAGTTGAATAGACTACGTACTAATAGTAGCTTATTCTACGATATCTTCATATGATTAAATATCGCACCTATGACCGAAATTAGTATAGCAACGTGAGGCAATGAGAGAGATTTAAAATGACATGATTTTTGTTTTGATGTAACTTTGACGGAAACTGAACAGAAAGATCAAGAAAAGATGTTGCGACAAATCAACTCCTTATCAAATTAAAATTATATACAGTCAATGAACTTGCTTATTTATCAGCAACCCTTTCAAAGTTCACATTCAATTTATCTTTACTTAAACAGTTCTCAATGGTCAAGCATTTGCCCCTATAACCAAAACCATAACCTGAGGTTTCTTTCCCCACAATACACTTCCTTAATTTGCAAGGAGAATCAATTCAACAGTATAAAAAAAAAATAAAAGAATAAAAAAAATTAAGAGATTTCTGGTTTATATATATACATATATATATTATATAAAATATAGAAATTTCACTAAATAATTAGCATTTATCGTGCTCCTCCTCGAATAAAGATAGAACAAGAAGTTTATATCTCCCTCAACTATCAGGATTAACACCACGCAAAATTATAGTGGAACTATTGAAGATGACATGGGCCGTTTGGCATGAATATATCTAAAAAGTGAAATGTAACACCTATGCAAATAAACAAAATTGCCAACATCTAACACCAACACAAAGTAAACTCAAAAGAAAGGCACAAATGAGAGTATATATTAAGTTGTGCAGGAGAATGTTCTCTTCGTGGAAGTATTATAAGAGAAGAAGGTCTATGAACAACATTAGGACTAATAATTATGAAGTGCCAACTTAGCAAGCTCAAGGGATGTAATGTCCATACATAGAGGTGTTTTGTGGAACTTGATTAACTTGTAACATTCTTCTGCCCTAATGGTGCATGAGAAATTATAGGCCAAAATTTCTACAATGACTCTAAATAATCTTTTCCTAGAAATTCTACACCTATCACCTTCAATGTGTCCCACTCCGGTTCAAGTGTTCCCTCATTTCTCCTATATCAAAACATCAAGTGCCCTCTTTAAGTGCATATACCTCCAACTCTAAGTGACCATTAAGCCAATAATTCAAGGAGAATTATGAATGGACTGCCATCTCATTTTACTTCTTTGAGGATTCAAGGCAAAAATTCACAAATTGACACACTCATTATTTCAGAATCTCCAAACCTCAAAATAGCATAACTGAACCTACGGTCTGTTCTTGATGATGAGAGATAAAATTACAACTTTGAGAAAGAACTCCATATTTGCACAACCAAACTGAGCTTCCCTGAAACTATGCAAACTCAAATGCCCATAGCAAAAAGTAAAACATGAGAAAACAAAATACTTCAAGAAAAATGTAAGATGATAGTCAAAATCACTACTAAAAGGTTTTCAGCAGCAAGATCACTCAAAAGAATGCCCAAATTCAAAATTTTGAGACACCAAAGGCACAATTAAAATATATACAAGAACAAATCATTTTCAATAAATTCAGAGACAGGCACAGACATATAAATTCATTAATTTAATCAAACGGATCCAGAACACATGTGACCATGGTATTAAATGCATAAAACACAATCGCACATCTAAACAAATTAAAAAGAGTGAGGAGTGAGTGACCACCTAACCTGGAATTCGGCTGCCTCATGTGGCAAAAGCGTATAATCTATCGGCACCTCTGTCAGATCAATGAGAAACTGTCAACTTCAAATCAAATTCATATTATACAAAATATATATATACATATATATATAACCGAGTGTACCGGAGAGTAGGTGAGAGGTAGTAGCGAAATCCGATTCGAGATCATTCTCTGACAATTGAAGGGAGGAAGTTAAGGCTAGGGTTTCTGTTTGCGAACCTCTCAACTCCGCTTCAATCGGCGCTAACGAATTCTCAAACTCACTGAGTTGCCTCTGTTCACCAACTTCATCTTCATCATCAAGTTCAGCGAACTCTTCATCGTCGTCCTCTTCGTCTTCGTCATCTTCGTGATCATCTTCTTCGTCCGGTTTCATATTCTCTGCTCCTTCGAAGCTCTGTTTATTCTCATCCATGGCCGATTCGAACTCACTTAGAGAAGGTAAAGATTCCTTCGAACGGTTTTGTACTTATTTAATATTTTAATTGTAGTGTCCGAATCCATACCTTTTTGTCGAACATTTGTTTCGATTTCGGGTTTTCGGTTCTGTACTGCTCACACAGAGAGAGAGAGACACAGAGAAAGGAGAGGGGGGAGATCGCGAGCGGGTTAATTTGTTTATTGCATACATCTCTCTATCATTGACTGATGTTGACTCAGGAGGTTTGAAGGCGTAATCAACACCGTTAAATTTAACCGTTACTTCAGTTGCGTGGATCACCGCTCTTTTTGTTGACTTTTTCTTCAACGTCGCAAGTGCACGTTTGTTCCTGATCTTTGACTCCGAAACACTAGTTATAGTTTTATACTATAGTAGATAAGAAAGAATTCAGAGTTTTTTTTTATTTTTTATTTTTCTCCGGTTATGACTTATTTTACAAAAGATTATTAAAGCAGTTGGAAAAATTATTTGTAGCCCCAAAGATTATTCCATCAGTTGATTTTCTTCACCTTATAGAAATATGATTAGGGTTAGGTGAATAATGCCACGTCAATCACTCTCGCTACTAAACTTATTAGAGCTAAAAGAAATTTTAAGATTAATATTCCACATTCATATCTGAAATTATACTAACGTGTTAGAGATCTTTTTGCTTTTATTTTACGCTTAAATCATAACTAGTATTTATGATTACAAGTGTTAACAATTTACTATAATAAACCAATTAGGGACCGTGTTTTACTTGGTGCGGGTATACACACGTATTTGAAGTGAGATTATATATAAGGATTTTTACCAATACATGGACTTAAGGCCCAAATATTTTTATAAGATGAGGTCAACTGTTTAATTTATCAAGAAAATGAGGGGACCACACAACTTTTTTCTTACAAATGAAAAGACCACACAATTATTTCTCTAAATTGAACTGATTTTCTACTTTACATCACACAACCATTTATTATTGTTACGTTGACCCGACAGAATATATTATTATATCATAAAAGCTTTAAAATATAAAATAAGCTTACATAAAGATCCTTAAGCAAGAATTAAAATTCTCAGTAGATTAATATGGACTTATAGACTTCTTTAGACAAAAGATCTTATATATAAATTAAATTTAACAAAACAGTATAGACTCTGATACCAAAATTGAGTTGGATCTAATCAGATAGAAGCATGCAAAATAATATAAAATAAATTTAACAATTAAATCACAGAAATAACTGCCGAACCTAATAACGCTCTGATAACGCCCTGTAAAAACGTCTGAACACCGGCAAGAATGGGCCAACAAGCCAACAGTTCGAGTCAACTCACAAAAAAAATTGTTAATTTATTACTTAGGCTACTTGTACTAATTGGATTCAAGAAAATTCTAGAATCTACACTGTCTGGCTAAATAAAATCTATATATTTGATCTTTGTGTCGACAAAAGTCTTTTACCCGTAAGTACTTAAAATACTAAATAGGGATAAAGAAAATTTTTGAACAGGAGCAAACTGGATAATTTATTTCATGGAAAATATATACATAGATACACACTGTTTATACGTGGATAAACTCTCACACACTATTTTACAAAGAGATATGTACTGAAAGAAATCACAAAGGAAAGCTTATGGCAGAGGGCTGGAATGCTTGATGGCTTTTAACTTGGTTGCTTTAAAACTCGATGATCTTTGCTTGAACAGAGAGGCCCCTTTTATAGGAAAAGAGGGAGATGAATCTTTGGCTGAGATTGAAGATGCTATATAGACGGTTGAGATTTAAGATACTTTAGAGATAAGATGGCTTGAATTATTGATGTCGGCTTCTGAAGAATTTTATCTACTTTTACTGTTGAGAATCTGCTTTCGGTGGATCTGGTTTTATCTGTACACTATTGAGAATCTACTTTTTTTGGATGCTGAAGCTGCTTTAATCTATACACTGTGGCGAATCTGCTTTTCTTTAAATACTTTTAGAATTCTTATATATTGGACAAATTTCTGTCGGTAGTGCTATCTGTTGGACTCTCATTTCTTTCTCTTTCATGGATGCGGGCCAAATATGCATCAGTGCTGTTTGGTGAGCTAGTTTCTTCATTTCTGTAGGCGAGATCAAACTGTTCTAGCAACATTTTTTCTTCATTTATTATTTCTTCAACTTCTGGAGCTATCTAAATCTCTGGAGGAGACTTAATGACATGAGGAATTCTTACTTTGACAAAAATTTCCATGTTGATATTATGATCGTAGAGTCTGAAACCAGGATTGTAGCTTGGGTTAACTTGACGATAGGCTTGATAGTATACCAAATGGTTAAGGTAACTGGTTCTATCTCATTACGAAAGTTATTTACAAAATCAATATGTTGGGTAAGAACTTTGACTTCTGTAGGATCAGAATGAATGTAAATTCGATACTGTCCCAAAATTATTGCTCCATCTTTTACCCATTTTGGGGGAGTACTGTGGATTTAAAAGATAATTGAATTTTCTGGCATGAAATTTTGGGTTAACTTTTGTTCGGAGGCAATGGCTTGATTCAAACGGTTGGGAAAGTTACCTAAAGAATCTAAGTATTCTAATGGCATATCTTTTGGTATGGTGATGCTGTAGATCATTCCTAATTCCAATAACTTGCTTAAATAACAGGTGGTTGTTTTTGTAGAGAAAAGGGTTTTTTTGGTTATTTCAAAAGGATAGAAGAAAACAATGTCTACGTCTAATAAGATAATGGCCATGGGTATAAGGTTGCCTGTTTGTATAAATCTTAGGAAAAAAATAGTTATAACGGGTTCTTGTAGGTGGACTGTTATTTTTAAGGTAGTTCTGGATATCAACCCATTCCTTGAAACCATCAGATTTGACTTCTTCAAGGATAACATCCTTGAGGTCATCAGGAAAGAGCTCAACTTGTTGTCTCAAAATTTCTCTCTATGTTGGAGAGAAAAGGGGTAATAACTTCGTTTGTACCTGCAGAAATTGAACTTTCTGAAGATTTTCATCTTCATCAGTCTTTTGCTCAGAAATAGTTAGTTATGTGGGGTTTGTTGTCGTTCTTTGATAAGCTAAATTTAACTTTTTATAATGAGATATAAGCGTCTCATGTTCTTGCTGTAATTCTGATATGCTTTATTGGATGATACAAAATATTCACTTAAAGTATTTAGATTTCTAACGAGTGTTCTATCGGAGTTATTTCTAGAAAACCAAATATTATCTAAAATAAATTTTTAGTCAAGAAAAAGATTATATCTAGCGCGGAACTGTTGAGCTGGGTTTTGGATAATCAAAAGATGATTAGAAGTGCCTGGTATAAGGCTATAACTGTTATTGCTCTTTGTTTCCATTCCTGCAAAATTTAACAATCGATTAATAAACGGGATAGAATATCTGCTAAATAATTGTCTTTTCCTTTAACATGTTCAAATATGGGTTTAAAATCTCTTAATAATGTTTCACAATAAGTTAAGGCCTGGGTTCTATTGTCAAAATTGGTTAAAATCGATTGCCTAATATAATCTTGTTCCTAGTTTTCAATTACTTTTGCCTAATCTTGGGGATCGTGTCTTGCTATGTCTAATATTGTTCCTGCTTGTTGTGCTGGTATATTTTCATATTGTTTACGATATTGTGTTAATGTGTACAATTTAGTATATTTCTATTTTCTACATAAGTTTCACGTGAGGGATTTAATCGTTGTCCAGTAGTATAGTCGTCATTTATGGTATTACTACTTGATGCGTTAGTCTTTCTTTGTTCAGTCATTTCTTGGTCAATTGACTGAGATGTTGATCCTTCTGGTTCTTTTTTTCTCTATGTTCTATTACATTTAACTCTTCTTTTACTGTATTTAATTCTGATGCCGTATAGAAGGATTCAAACCGTACGCTTAAAATATTTTTCTTAATATCATAATTATTTCCTTATCCTAAGTAAATACTTTCGATAAATTTATATTTAGGTTCTGGATACTTGTCTTGCAATGCTTCTAATTCTAAATTATCAAAATCGTACGTTATTTTTTCGAGAATTTCATCTTCTAATCTATCATAAAGGACATTTATTTCGTCAGGAAACTCTATTTCTATGAGTGTAATTAAAAAGACTTCTTAGGTATCATCTACTAAATTGTCTTGTCTTTTATAATTACTAAACTTTATGCTAGCTTATTCGTTATTTGTAACATATATCGTATTATTTTCGGGAATCTTTTTAGGTAATTTCCATTCTGTTTCTTCATAGGTAATACTACTTACTTTTCTCGCTTTTATCATCTGGACATATTTGCTACTAAAAGGTTTAACTATTTCATTAAATTGGGCTTTAAATTTTAAGTTATATTGATTAACTGTTTTTCTCATAAATAAAGTATTAACTAAAAGATTTTCAAATTGTCCCATCATATTATATCCTTTTGTAAATATAGCTATCTTTATATGTTTACTGAATTCTCTAGTAGTCAACGTAAAATTGGGGATACATCCTATTATGGCTGCACTGTCGGCTAAATCTATTTCAGCGCTGGTTATTTGTGCTTGTTGATGGTTATTCCATCGGTCATCATAAATATAAGCAAGTGCTCTAATTCCTATCTCTGCTCTGTTTAATCCTACTAATCCTATCATTATGACGCCTAAATGCATGAGTTCTAAATTATTACTATTTAATTCTTGACATGCTTCGGGTGTTATAAGGTCTAAAATAACTTGATTGTTAACTGCACTTATTTTTCTTTGGCTAAAATGATTACATATCTTACTCTGGAAGTCTAATAAATTATTGGAATAAAATTTAACTTTATTTTTTACCTTCTTCATTCCTTGTTCTATATATTTTTTAGCATCATATTCATTATCGTATAAATCTTTTACTCTCATTATTTCTTTGGCTTTTCTAAGAATAATGGCCATTGTGATATTTGTCTATAAGGTTGTAACAAATTTACACATTTGGTAGTTACAGGAGAGTACTGATTTGCCAACTTTATATCCTTTATTTTATCCGATAACTTAGATAATTCTTTAGAGGATTCTCTGGGAATACTTTCTTGTATCACTTCTAACTTGTATCACTTCTAATTTTTCTTCAATTTTATTAATTTTGTCAGATAACTGGAGTAATAACTGGATTAAAAAGTTATTTTGTCTAATATGTATGTTAGTTA